CTTGGAAGGCTGAGGCGGAAGGATCACTGGAGCCCAGCAGATCGAGGCTGCGGTGGCCGGGAGCGGCCACTGCACTCCAGTCTGGGTGACAGAGTGAGACTCCCAACTCAAAAAAAAAAAAAAAATTTTAATTGGGGCTCTGAATTTATAGAAAGATTTGGGGAGACTTTCTATCTTTATTGAGTCTTCCTATTCATGAACCTCTCAGTTCTCAATTTATTCAGGTATTTAAAAATATCCTATAGTAATTTTTGAAACCAACTTTATTGAGATAAAATGTAGCCATTTTAGGTGTACAGCTTGTTAAGTTTTAACAGATATATGTGCCCATCTATATGTACACATACCCATATAACCACTGCAATCAAGAAGTAGAACATTTTTTCTTTTTCTTTTTTTTTTTCCTGTTTTAATTTTTATTTAAAATTAGAACATTTTTTCAACTTTGTGCTTTTCCAGGTCATCCTCCTTTATCCTATTCAGTCATTGCTTTCTGTCACTGCAGATTAGATTTGTCTTTTCTGAGCTTCAGATAAATGGAGCTGTACATTACTCTGTATCTGGCTTCTTTTACTCAGCGTAATGTTTTTAAGAGTCATTCATGTTGTTACAGGTATCGGTAGTCCATCCTTTTTTTTTTTTTTTGCTTAGTATCGTGCGTCTGTATATGGACTAATATTTTTATTTTCTTGGATAAGGAAGAGAATTGATGTGTTAATATGGTAAATATATCTTTAATTTTATAGAAAGCTACAAAATTGTTTTTCTAAAGTGGTAGTGTTTTACACTCACCAACAATGTGTGACATTTTTAGTTACTCTATATTCTCATATTTAGTATTGTCATTTGTTTTAATTTAAGTCATTCTCCTGGCTATAGGATCAGGGACTGCAAATTACAACTCATGGGTCATATCTGGCACATTTGCTTTTATAAATAGTTATAGATGTTATCTATGTCTACTTTCCTACTACAGAGCAAAACTGAGAGTTGTAACAGACTTTGTGACTGCAAAGGCTAGTGTATCTTTTTTTTTGAGTCAGAGTGTCACTCTTTTGCCCAGGCTGGAGTGCAGCAGTATGCTCATGGCCACCACAGCCTTAACCTACTGGACTCAAATGATCCTTTCGCCTCAGCCCTCCAAGTAGCTGGAAACACAGGCATGTGCCACCACACCCAGCTAATTTTTTGATTTATTATAGAGACGAGGTCTCGCCATGTTTCTCAGGCTGGTCTTGAACCCCTGAGCTCTTGCCTCCACATCCCAAAGTACTGGAATTACAGGCTTGAGCCAACTGCCCCTGACACTCTCTGGTTCTTTATAGAAAATGTAAGCCGGGCTCGGTGGCTCAGCCTGTAATCCCGCGCCTTTGGGAGGCTGAGGTGAGTGTATTGCCTGAGCCCGTGGGTTCGAGACCCACCTGGGCAACTTGGCAAGACCTCATCTCTACAATAAATCCAAAAATCAGCTGGGTGTGGTAGCGCATGCCTGTAATTCCGGCTACTCAAAAGGCTGAGGCGGAAGGATCGCCGGTGCCCAGTAGGTCAAGGCTGCGGTGGCCGGGAGCGGCCACTGCACTCCAGTCTGGGCGACAGAGTGAGACTCCAACTCAAAAAAAAGAAAATGTTTACTGACCTCTGGGGTAGAGATTTCTCATTGTGCTTTTAATTTGTATTTCCCTGATGACGAATGATGTTGAATGTCTTCTAGTGTGTTTATTGGCCATTTGTATATCTTCTTTTTTGAAGTGTCCAAATCTTTTGGTCATCTCTTATTTCATACATTATATTTTTAACTTCTAGAACTTCTGCTTTTTTTGGTGTTTTCTACTTCTCAGATGAGATTGCCTTTTTTTTCCCATTCGTCCTTACTGTATTTTCCTTTACCTCATGAATATAGTTATTATAGCTGTCTGATAACATCTGGATCATGTTGTGGTTGGCATTAGTTAACTTGTCTTGTTCCTTAAGAGATATCACATTTTCCTTGATCTTGGTATGTTGAATAATTGTATACTGAACATTGTGAATGTTTGGGGGACCAAAATATTATATATATATTTTTTTCTTTTTCTTTTTTTGAGTTGGAGTCTCACTCTTGTCACCCAGACTGAGGGCAGTGCACTCAACGGCTACCGCAGCCTCGACCAGCTGGGCTTAGGTGATCCTTCCCCCTCATCCTTCCAAGTAGCTGGAACTACAGACGCATGCCACCATGTCTGGCTAGTTTTTATAATTTATTATAGAGTCGAGGTTTCACCAAGTTGCCCGGGCTGGTCTCAAACCCCTGGGCTCAGGCAGTCTTCTCGCCTCGGCCTCCCAAAGTGCTGGGATTACAGACTTGAGCCACCATACCCAGCCAAAATATTTTATATTGATCCAAAGGTTGTTAATATTTTTGTGTTAGCAGGCAGTTAACTTGGTTAGACTCATACCAAACTGTCATGTCTGTGGTGGGCAACAGCTTAGCTCTCAGTTTGGTTCTTGTAAGTCTTAGCTTTAAGCTGCTTCCAGTTTATTCTGCACATACTTGGTTCAAAGATCAGCTGTAGATTTAGGCTGTTTAAATACAGAATGTGAGGCTTTCCTTCTTTGTCTCTTTCCTTTCTAAAGTTCCTGTTTCCTGAAACTCTGGTTACCCTGGGAATCTTTTCCTAGTTCTTTGAGTACCTCTGGCCAGAAAGATGTCAATCTTTCTACTGGAGTTACAACTCGCCTTCTGCCTTTGCAGTGGTGACCACAGCCACCTTCGTGCAAAGCTGCAAAAATCAAGAGTGCAATCTTTATGTATCCCTTACTCCCAGTTTGATTCTTCTTTAAAGTGTGTCTTTTTCAGTCTCCAGAACCCTTAGGTTTTGTTTTACCACAGAGCCTATTGTTGCTCTTTTACAAGGATCAATTTATCAGACTGTCATTCCATATTTTTGTGTCCAGTTTAAAATTGTATTTTGTTTATTTTTGAGTTGCAAGTGTGCTGTATTCTGAGTTAGAAGTATTTTGTTAGGTTAAAGTATCATGAATGATTTCTTCTAGTCTGTGGCTTGCCTTTTTATTCTATTAATAGTTTTTGAAGAAGAGATGTTCTAATTTTAATGAAGTCTAATTTGTTACTCTTATGGTTTGTGCTTATGCCATCTTATCTGAGAAATCTTTGCTTACTTCAATCTCGCATAGATTTTTCTGTATTTTAGAAGTTTTTTCATTTAGGTTTGTGTGGTTCATTTAGAGTTAATTTCTCTGTAAAGAGTGAAGGTGTGGCTGGGCACGGTGGTTCACACCTATAATCCCAGCACTTTGGAAGACCGAGGTGAGAGGATTGCCAGAGCCCATGGGTTCAAGACCAGTCCGGGTAGCTTGGGGAGACCTCATCTCTACAATAAGTCAAAAAATTAGCTGGGCATGGTGACGCTTGCCTGTATTTCCAGCTACTTGGAAGGCTGAGGCAGAAGGATCGCCTGAGCCCAGAGGTTGAGGCTGTGGTGACCAGGAGGGTGCCACTGCCCTCCAGCCTGGGCAACAGAGTGAGACTCCAACTCAAAAAAAAAAAAGAAAAGTGAAGGTGAGAGTCAGAATTCATATTTTTGTAATATGAGTATCCAGTTGTTAAAAGACTGTCCTGTCCTGTGGCACCTTTGTCAGAATTCACTGACCAAATATGTGGAACTTTAATTTTGGACTGTCGGTTCTGTCTCATTAATCTTTATGCTTGTCCTTACACCAATATTACACTATCTTGATTATTACTATTTTATATTAAGTGTTGAAAGCTTTCAACTTTGCTTTTTACTTTTCAAAGTTCTTTCTTTTGGCTATTTAGGTCTTTTGCATCTTAGAATAATGTTTTATAATATTCACCATGTACGTCTTTATGGTTTTTGTTGCTATTGTGAAATGAGTTTTCTCTTTTGATTTCAGTTTTCTATTTGTTTCCATTGAAGGAATGCTTTGCTTTTATATGTTAATTTTGTATCCAGCAACTCTTCCAAATTCCTATTCGTTTTAGTAGTTTATCTTTAGTTGTAGTTTTTTTGTTTTTTTTAATATTTTTTTCCAGCTAGTTAAAATAGCTGGCTATTTTTAAGATTTTCTATTGGTGTTTATCCAGTTACACTGTGTGATGTGGTGTGGATTTTCTTTATGTATCCTGCTTGAGATTTGTTGGACTTCTTGAATCTGTAGATTGGTGTATTTCATTGGCTCTGCAAAATTCTCAGCTATTATCTTTTTAGATGTTTCCTTTGCCTCATTCTTCTCCTCTTTTGGGATTCTGATTAAATATATATTAAACCTTCTCACTGTGTCCTCTGTGTCTATTGTGCTATCTTTGATGTTTTTCATCTTTTTGTCTCTGTCTTCCAGTTAACTAATTCTATCTTACTTGTGTGCTCTTTAGAAGGATCAATTTATCAGACTGTCACTCCATGTTTTTGTGTCCATTCAAAAATTGCATTTTGTTTATTTTGAGTTGCAAGTGTGCTGTATTCTGAGTAGAATCTTTTAATGTGTTTATTGGCCATTTGTGTATCTTCTTTTTTGAGGTGTCCAAGTCTTTTGCTTGTCTTTATTTTATATATTGTATTTTTTTAACTTCTAGAACTTCTCCTCTTTTTTTTTTTTTTTTGTATTTTCTATTTCTTAGATGAGGTTGCCTTTTTTTCCTCATTTGTCCTTTTTGCTACAAGAAAATACAGTCAGCCCTCCCTATCTGCAGGTTCTATATGTCTACAGATTCAACCAACTGCAGATGCAGAGCCTGTGGAATGAGGGATAATTCTGTTAGCCATTTTTTTTTTTTTTTGAGTTGGAGTCTCACTCTGTTGACCAGGCTGGAGTACAGTGTCACACTCACAGCCACTGCAGTGTCGACCTGCTGGGCTTAGGCCATCCTTCCACCTCAGCCTTCCAAGTAGCTAGAACTACAGACAAGCGCTACCATACCAAGCTTTTTTTTTTTTTGATTTATGGTAGAGACAAGGGCTCACCAAGTTGCCCAGGCTGGTCTCGAACCCCCAGGCTCAGGTAGTCTTCTTGCCTCGGCCTCCCAGAGTGCTGGGATTATAGGCTAAGCCGCTGTGCCTGACCCTGTTTGCCATTTTATGTAAAGGATTTGAGTATCTTTGAAATTTGGGACCTGTGTGGAGAGTGAGGAGGTGTCCTGGAATCTCCTATGGGTACCAAAAGACTACCTTGGACTGGGTAATTTAAAAGTAGTCGAAATTTATTTCTCACAGTCTGTTGTCTGGGAAGTCTAAGACCAAGGTGCAAGTAGATTCAGTGTCTGGTGAGGATTGCTTTTTCTGCTTCAAACATGGTGGCTTCTAGCTGTGTCCTCATGTGGTGGAAGATGAAAACTCATTCTCTTAAGCCCTTTTATAAACACGAATCCCATTCATGAGAGTGGTAACCATAAGACCTGATCATCTCCCAATGTCTCTACTTCTTAATACTATCGTATTGGTGGTCAAGTTTTAAGATTTGAATTTTGGAGGCACAAAGACCATAGCAATGCTTTTAAACTGAATTGAGCTTTAAGTTTTAATTAATTAATTAACTTTTAGTTTAGGAAGCTTTTCTTGGTTCCTTTTCAGAACTATGGCTTTTTTTTTTTAGGAGCCCTTTTCCTGCTGATTGTGGCTTATGATATCTTATTTTTTGTTTGACTGTATTGGAGGCCCCACATGAAGGCTTTTGCCAATAAAGAGGATTTGTATTTGCTTTTTCCAAAGAAAGTTGAATTAATTCTTTCTGCCTTCACTTTTGCCTTGGTAATTCCTTATGCCTTTTCAGCCATTTGATACTCTTAAGATTTTAAAAAGTATTTGTTCTATCTGTTTTAGTTTTATGAGTGAGAGGATTAGTGTAAAAAATCTGCCATTATCATAAATAAACCAATCTTATCAAATTTTACTAGGTTTTAATTTAATTCAGCTTTGCATTTCTTCTTTTAGATTCGCTCAGCTTATTTTGAGTTAGTTTCTGCTTTGTGCCAGCGCATTCCACAATTGATGAAAGAGGAAGCATCCAAAGTGAGCCCATCGGTTCTACTTAGCATTGATGACAGTGACCCAATTGTCTGCCCAGCTCTCTGGGAAGCTGTACTGTATACACTTACAACTATTGAAGTATGTAAGAGAAACACTTTGGTACATTGGGGAATACTTGCTTTCCTAGTTATTTTAGAACCCTTAGATGTCATATGAGAAAGAGTCTGTCAGATAATAATATCTAAAACTTATTGGGTAAATGCTTTCTTGGACATAAAATACTTAATGTAAACTTGGCATGAATCTTAAACAGACTGGTAAAATACTTGATTTTTATTTTTGGGAGTCTGTATGTGTTCTTTTTCAGTTGGGAAAAGTATGGTTATGATTTCTAATTACTATTATAATCTTTTATTTGGCTAGGATTGTTGGCATCATGTAAATGCAAAAAAAAGTGTGTTTCCCAAGCTGTCAACTGTGATTCGTGAAGGTGGTCGGGGTCTAGCTACTGTCATATATCCTTATCTCCTGCCATTTATCAGCAGACTCCCTCAGTCCATCACAGATCCAAAGTTGGATTTCTTCAAAAATTTTCTTACCTCTCTAATTGCAGGGTAAGGTATTTACATACTTGATTTTTAAAGCAAAAGAGGTTTTCTTGTTTTCTTACTCATTATTTTCTTATTTAAATTTCTTCAGGTTGTTTTGCTGTTCACTAAGCACTTTTAAAGTTTTCAGATAACTATAGTTGGTGTTCTTTTCTTGAGTATTTTCAAGGTTTCAGTGGCAGTACACAGCAGAAAGTTAGATAAATAAAGTAAAGGTTCTAGTTGGAAATAGGCCATTTTACAAATGAGCCATTTTTTATGTTGTTAAATACAAATGCCTAAAAGCAGGAAAAGAACAATGAAGTTTTTAAAACTTCCATAAAGTATAATAGGTATTTAAATTCACACTTAAAAACTATTTCAGGGACCGGCATGGTGGCTCACGCCTATAATCCCAGCACTTTGGGAGGCTGAGGTGAGAGGACTGCCTGAGCCCACCGAGACCAGCCTGGGCAACTTGGTGGAACCTCATCTCTGCAATAAATCAAAAAACTAGCCAGGCATGATGGCACATGCCTATAGTTCCAGCTACTTCTAAGGCTGAGGCGGAAGGATCATCTGAGCCCAGCAGGTCGAGGCTGTGGTGGCCGGGAGCATGCCACTGCCCTCAAGCCTGGGCGACAGAGTGAGACTCCAACTCCAAAAAAAGAAAAAAAAAAAAGAAACCTATTTCAGTGCATTTGTTGAACTTAGAAGATACACAGTTTTATTAATTATTAATTTTTTTCCACAGTACTATTATCTTTATTTGGTTAAATTCTCTTTCAAATTTGTATGTGAATTGGTCCATAAAGAGGGAATATTATCTCTTATCTCTTGTTGATACATTTGTGAAAAGTTTTTTCACAATTTTTAAAGTTTATGTTCTTATTTGAGATATATGTTATTTTGATTACTTGTTCTTAGTTATTAATTTAGGAATTTGTTTTTTTTAAAAATCTTCTTCTGGTATGATGCCTTTTCAATATCTTTATTTTGGTAATTCTGAGTTCTTATTTTCTTCAGGAAAGAGAAATTCACAGTTATTTATTATTTCTTAGGCTGTCAGCAGAGAGAACCAAAATCAGCTTTTCAGAGTGCTCAGCAGTAGTGTCTGCCTTTTTTGAATGCTTACGTTTTATAATGCAGCAAAACTTAGGTGAGGAAGAGATTGAACAGATGCTCGTCGATGATCAGGTATCTCTGATGTAAAAATCATCAGTATTTTTGCAACTGACTATAAAGAGTCAAGCTCATTGTATCTTGTTGCCATTTTCAGTAATTAACTTTCCTTGTAAAACATTTTATTTCATAATTTACAAATTGAGGAATGTGTATTTCTGACTAGATAAGTAAAAAAAAATCCATTGTCTTAGTTGTTAGCATAATATAATGCCTAAGGAATTAGTGTTTGTATATAGAAATCCTGATTGTCTTAGTTGTAATGCAAAACAGAATTGAAAGATACTTGTGATTTTTTTGGTAGTAAGTTTAAATCATTCAATAATCATCTTTTTACTTCTAAAATACTCAAATGCATTTATGCTTTACAAACAATTGGGCTTGGCTTTCTGAACCAGAGATGAGAGCAGGATATGGAATAATGGTTTCTGTAGGATATTAGTCAGATTATAGATACCAAGATCCTAGTCGATGTCTCAGTTAACTTCTCTTTGCAATTTAGGAAAAAAGAATTCTGTGGGCCCTAGGTGTTCTTCATACTGGTTTATTGTCTCATATCTTAAATTTGCCTATAATTAAGGCAGAAAAGCAAAAAACTTGAGTAAGTCCAAAAGATGAAAAAAAAAAACTGAATTATTTAATTCTCTTAGTTATATCACAAAAAAGAAGTACTGCAGGTACAGTCATTAAGTTCTTTGTATAATACAAGAGTGATCTTTGAATTAACTTGATTTTTCAGAGTTCTCAGGGAAATCCATGTTTTTCAGTTATTTTTTATTTTTATTTTTATTTTTTTTGAGTTGGAGTCTCACTCTGTCGCCCAGACTGGAGTGCAGTGGCCGCTCCCGGCCACCGCAGCCTCGACCTGCTGGGCTCTGGTGATCCTTCCGCCTCAGCCTTCCAAGTAGCCGGAATTACAGGCGCGCGCTACCACGCCCAGCTGATTTTTTGATTTATTGTAGAGATGAGGTCTCGCTGCCCAGGCGGGTCTCAAACCCGCGGGCTCAGGCAATCCACTCACCTCAGCCTCCCAAAGGCGCGGGATTACAGGCTGAGCCACCGAGCCCGGCTGTGTTTTTCAGTTATTAAATATGAAGTTGTGTTGTTTCACAAATACCTTGTTTATTTCTCCTAAACACTGAAATTTTATATTTTTTTATCTTTTGTGAGGGGGAAAAACACAAACTGTTTTTCTTCTACTCTCTCACCACAATAATCAACATAGAAGACTTCTGTGATCAAATGTGTAGAGATTTCTCCCCACCAAGCAAACAAGCAATTCTGCAGCAGACACCAGCTAAGGATCCTCCAATTCAATTATGATTCTACTACCTAGAGATAGTATCAGATCCCACAGGTTGAGGGTTCAGTTCCACAAGACTACCCCTGCTTCCCCTACCAGTCATATGCCCCAGGCTGTTTTACCTGTGCTTCTGATTGGCTATAAATTGGGGATCCTGCTACCCCCTTGGGTTTGAATAATTTTCTAGAGTGACTCACAGAACTCAGGGAAGCAACTTGTATTTACTGTTCTTCCTTTTTTTTTTTTTTTTAAAGGATAGTACATAAGATACAAATAAAGAGATGCAAAGGGGTAAAGTATGGGAAGGAGTGTGGAACTTCCATGCTCTACGTGGGCACACCTTGCTTTAGGAACCCCATGTGTTCATCTATTTGGAGGCTCCCCAAACCCTATCCTTTTGGGTTTTTATGGAGGCTTTATTACTAGATGTGACTGATTAAATCATTGCCCATTGGTGATCAATTTAACTTTCAGCTCCTCTCTTCCCTAGAGATTGAGTGGTATTGAAAGTCCCAACACTCTTATCCTGCCTTGGTCTTTCTGGTGACCATTCTTTATCCTGAAGGTACACAGGGGCTGCCAGCCATCAGTCAACCATTAGCGTACAAAAAGACATCACTTCAGAGGTTTCAAGGGTTTTAGGGTTATATACCAGGAAACGGGTGGAATTATATATTTTATAATATTATATCTTCTCTTTCAGTTGATCCCTTTTATTGATGCAGTTCTCAAAGACCCAGGATTGCAACATGGGCAGCTATTTAACCATTTAGCAGAAACCTTAAGTTCCTGGGAAGCCAAAGTAGACATGGAAAAGGATGATAAAATGGCTCACAAATTGGAGGATGTACTGCTACATTTCTGGGAGAGACTGTCAGAGATCTGTGTTGCAAAAATCAACGAGCCAGAAACTGATGTTGAGTCTGTTTTGGGTGTATCTAACCTATTACAGGTTCTTCAGAAGCCAAAGAGCTCATTGAAGTCAAATAAAAAAAAAAATGGGAAGGTTAGATTTGCTGATGAGATATCTGAAAGTAATAAAGAAAATGAAAAATTTGTATCCTCAGAAGGAAAGAACAGTGAAGGCATAGAATTAACAACTGAACCTTCTCTCACTCATAATTCTTCAGATCTTTTGTCTCCTTTAAGGAAGAAACCTTTGGAAGACTTAGTCTGTAAACTCGCAGAGATGAGTATTAATTATGTCATTGAACAAAAGTCAGAGCAACATCTAAGGTTTCTTTCTACTCTGCTTGACTCCTTTTCTTCAAACCAAGTATTTAAAATGCTTCTTGGTGATGAAAAGCAGAGAATCGTCAAAGCTAAACCTCTTGAAATAGCCAAACTTGCCCAGAAACATCCCGCGGTACAGTTTTTGTACCGGAAACTAATAGATTGGCTAAATGAAGATCAAAGGAAGGATTCTGGTTTCCTAGTGGATATTTTATACAGTGCCCTCCGTTGCTGTGACAATGATACGGAAAGAAAAGATGTCTTGGATGATCTAACCAAGGTATTACTGTTGTATATCTTTTTAAACAATTTTAATAACAGATGAGTTAAATGAGCCTACATAGGGGTTATTTTTGGATTGTTTCTTGACTATGAATGTCAGTTTAAAGGCAAGCAGTATATTCTTGGTTATGATTTGGGAAGTATCTGAGGCTGCTGGGTAGATGTTTAGTAGTACCAGGGTAACAAAAACTTGGCCGATACTGTAAGAAAGGTATTGGTAGTAGTAAGATACTGCCAGGGTGAGAGTGGTAGAGAACAAAAAAGCATCAATAAGAGCACCTGATCTCAAACCAGGCCAAGTGGGGACCAAAGGGAGGCCTAAACTTTGCCTGTACAATGACCACTTGTATACCTAATCCTGAATTATACCCCACATCTTTAAAATAAAAAATACTTTTAAAAAAAGCTTGGTCAGTTACAGAGTGAGTTCTTTTAGTCCATAAAAGTTGGGTTAGCTAAAAATGTTTTTGTTTTTTATAGGTTACCTGAGAACTTCATTTACTTTTTAAAAGTTTTAGCCAGGCGTGGTGGCACTCCCCTTTAGTCCCAGCTACTTGCACGCGCTACTGCGCCCAGCTAATTTTTTGATTTATTGTAGAGATGAGGTCTCGCCAAGTTGCCCAGGTGGGTCTCGAGCCCGCGGGCTCAGGCAATCCCACTTCAGCCTCCCAAAGCGCGGGATTACAAGCCTGGCTAGAGCCCAGGAGTTCTAAACCAGCCTGGGCAACATAGCAAAACTCCATCTCAAAGAAAAAACAGTTGCTGTTTATTCTAGCATATTGTTTCTAACTCTTCTTCTTCTTTCAGGTGGACCTGAAATGGAATTCTCTTCTCAAGATTATTGAAAAGGTATCTTAGGGATTTTGATCTTTTTCTTTTTTTGTATTTATGGATACAACAAAAACAAATAAAACCATAGTAATACACTAAATATGGTCAGGTAGCTGGGTTCTGTGTTAGAGAACTTCTTTATTATTGTAACTTTCCACAATTTGGGAAGACATTTGATGTTTGTCTTTCTATAGTATTATTTTTCTGTTTAGGATTATTAGGAAAGAATGAACAGGTTCTGGAAAATTCAGTGTTTCTTCCCTAGCAGGTAACAGAGGAAGATTTAAACATTTTATTAGCTTTTAACTATGGCTACAGCTTTCTGCTCTTATCCTAGTTAATTTTTCTTCTGTAGAAATGGATTGCATGGCTCTAGCTTTGACTAAAACACATCAGGTAATTAAGTTTTTCCTACTCTGAAAATACTACTTAAGAAATTAAAATCTTCAGCTTTTGTGTGATTGCTACTTGACTAAATAAAAAAGTTAGTGATAAGAATAATGAAAAGAAATCAGAGGTGGGATAAAAAGAATTCAAAGAACATAAACAATTTACAGATTTTAAAAATGACTTAAAGGTTCTTTACTATAAGGATGTAAATGACATAACTAACACTTTTCCAACTATAGAAATGTTATGACTATCTAAAGTTAGTTAGTTAATGCTCTTTTTTAAAGCATTTCTTATTATTTTTCTATTTTACATAGATACTGCTCAAGTTTACAAGTTTCTTTTTTCTATTTTTTAAATTGTAGTAAAAAGCACATAGCACTAAATTTACCATCTTAACCTTTCTAAATGTATGTACAGTTCAGTAATATTAAGTATATTTACATTGTTGAGCAGTCTCCAGAACTTGTTCATCTTGCAGAACTGAAATCCTGTACTCATTAAACAGTACTTCCCTACGTCCCTCAACAGATTACTTTTTACAAAGTAAATACAGAATACTAATTAATTTCTCAGTGACAAACATAACTTACCAGGCACATCTAATTAATTTGCATTTGTTTATTCAGGGCTACCTTCTGCAGGCAAGCTACATGAAAAGCCAAATGATCAGAAAGTTGCTTGATAAGCCTATAATCAGAGCATTTCCAGCTTTGGAGTGTACCTGTCATGTAGTTCAGATATTCACATCTGTTTGGAAGAATTTCCTCTTCCTGGTCAGTGTTTGGAAGTTCCGAACCAGTGTTTGCCTCCTGTGCTTCTGTGACACAGAAGCCTCCCCAGTTCATTACAGCTAGACAGATTCTTTTGTTAGGTATGTCCATACAGGCATAACTCAGAAATATTACAGGTTCAGTTCCAGACCATCACACTAAAGCAAATCACACAAATTTTTATATTTCCAGTGCATATAAAAGTTATATTTACACTATAATGTTTTTAAGTATTCAAGAGCATTATGTCTAAAAATATGTGCATACCTTAATTAAAAATATTTTATTGATTAAAAAATTCTAACAATCACCTGAGCTTTCAGCAAGTCATAATCTTTTTGCTGGAAGAAGTTCTTGCTTCAATGTTGGTAGTTGCTGACTGATCATGCTGTTGGTTACTGAAGGTTGAGGTGGCTGTGGCAATTTTTTAAAATAGAAAATAGAAACAATGAAATTTACTTCATCGATGGACTCTTCCTTTCTTTTTTTTGAGTTGGAGTCTCACTCTGTCACCCAGTCTGGAGGGCAGTGGCATGTTCACAGCCACCACAGCCTCTACCAGCTGGGCTCAGGCAATCCTTCCTCCTCAGCCTTCCAAGTAGCTGGTACTACAGGTACACGCCACCATGCCCAGCTAATTTTTTTGATTTATTGTAGAGATGAGGTCTCGCCAAGTTGCCCCGGTGGGTCTCAAACCCACGGGCTCAGGCAATCCTCGCCTCAGCCTCCCAAAGTGCTGGGATTATAGGCATGAGCCACCGTGCCCAGCCTTTCACAGAAGATCTCTTGGTAGCATGCAGTGCTGTTTGATAGCATTTTACCCACAGTTGAATTTCTTTCATAGTTGGAGTCTTTCCTCTTAAACCCTGGCACTGCTTTGTTAACTTAGTTTATGCACTATTCTAACTCCTTTGTGGTCATTTCAGCAATGCTTACAACATTTTCACCAGGAGTAGATTTCATCTCAAGAAATCTTTGCTCATCCTTTCTTTGCTCATCCTTAAGAAACAACTCCTCATCTGTTAAGGACTTATCAGATGGCAGCATTTCTCTCATATCTAATTCTAGTTCTCTTGCTCTTTCCACTACATCTGCAAGTTACTCATTCACTAAAGTCTCGAACTCTTCAAAGTCATCCATTAGGGTTGGAATCAACTTCTTTCAAACATCTGTTAATGTTGCTATTATACCCTTTTCCCATGAATCATGAATATTCTACCTGGCACATAAAATGGTAAATCCTTTCCAGGTTTTCAATTTATTCAGATCAGTCAGAGGAATCATTATCTATGGCTGCTATAGCTTTATGAGATGTGTTTCTTAAACAATAAGACTTGAAAGTCAAAATTATTCCATAATGGGCTGTAGAATAGATATTGAATTAGTAGGTATGAAAACAATAATCTCCTTGTATGTTTCCATCATAGGTCTTGGATGACCGTGTGCATTATGAATGAGAAGTAATATTTTGAAAGGAATATTTCTTTTGACGCAGTAGGTCTCAGCAGTGGGCTTAAAATAGTAAACAATGCTATAAACAGATGTGCTGTAATTTAGGCTTTGTTTCTTTTGTAAAACACCGGCAGAGTAGATTTAGCATAATTCTTAAGAGTCCTAGGATTTTGGGAATAGTAAATGAGTACTGGCTTCAACTTAAAGTCACCAGCTGCATTACCTCCTAATAGGAGAGGCAGTCTTTCCTTTAACGCTTTAAACCAGGCGTTGACTTCTCTCGAGCTATGAGAGTCTCAGATGGCATCTTACAGTACTGCAAGTCTGTGGTTTAGTGTAGCCACCTTCATCAGTGCTCTTAGGTAGATCTGGATAACCTCCTGCAGCATCTCCATCAACACTTACTGCTTCACCTTACACTTTTATATTATGGAGAATGGTGTCTTTTCTTAAACCTCATGAATCAACCTCTGCTAACTTCAAGCTTTTCCTATGCAACTTCCTCCTTACCTTTCTTAGTCTTCATAGAAAAGAATTAGGGCCATATTCTGGATTAGGCTTTGGTTTAAGGGAATGTTGTGGTGGGTTTGTTCCATCCAGACCACTAAAACTTTCCCCATATCAGTAGTAAGTCTGTTTCACTTTATCATTCATGTACTCAGTGGAGTGACAGTTTTTAATTTCCATTAAGAACTTTCCCTTTGCATTCACAACTTGGTTAACTGTTTGATGGAAGAGGCCCAAGAAGAGAGGAGAGATGGGGGAACAGCTGTTTGGTGGATCAGTGAGAACACATACATTTATTGATTGTTTGTCATCTTACATGGGCACAGTTCATGATGCCCCAAAACAGTTATAGTAGTTACATCAAAGGTCACTGAACACAGATCACTGTAACAGATATAATAAAGAAAATGTTTGAAATACTGTGAGAATTACCAAAATGTAGCATAGTCATGAAGTGAGCATATGCTGTTGGAAAAATCTTGCTGATAGGCTTGCTTGACATAGGGTTGCCACAGACCTTAAATTTGTAAAAAAAAATACGTGTCTTCAAAGTGCCATAAATCGAAGCACAAAAAAAGGTTTGCCTATACTGAGAAGTTGAACTTCATGTCTTACTAACTTGAGAGACATTTTATTTAGAAGTTTATAGTTTATTTTTTCTACCAGAAATTGGTAGAACAGGTTGGTTTTATTTGGTAAACTTCATTGGGAAACCCAGTATTATAGCCATCTAAACTTTAAAGTAGTTTTTCTTGGCTGGGCGCGATGGCTCACGCCTATAATCCCAGCACTTTGGGAGGTTGAGATGAGAGGATTGCCTGAGCCCACGGGTTCGAGACCAGCCTGGGCATCTTGGGGAGACCTCATCTCTACAATAAATCAAAATATTAGCCAGTCATGGTAGTGCACGCCTGTAGTCCCAGCTATTTGGAAGTCTGAGGTGGAAGGGTTGCCTGAGCCCAGTAGGTCAAGGCCAAGGTGGCCATTAGCATGCCACTGCACTCCAGCCTGGGCAACAGAATGACTCAAAAAAAAAAAATTAGTTTTTCTTGTTTTATGGAACCTAATTTTTTATTGCAGTATCTTAAAGTCAGCTTCTTTAAACAGAAATAATTAAAAAACAAGTCTGAATTTTAGAATCAGAAAAGGACCTTAGAGATTTTCTAGATTAATCTTTCCAGTTTTCAAATTAGAAGATGGGTTCAGGTTGGCTAAGAGATTTGTCCAAGGTCATAAGGTAATGTTTAGTGGTAAAAGTTTGGACTAAGCTATAAGCTCTAGTTACTCACAGTTTTTAAAATAAAAAGTCAAACAGTTTTCAGGCACTACCCAATCCGCACTTGGATTTTTTTTTTTTTCCAGATTGCTTTGAAATGAACCAAATTGCAAATTCCTTTCTTCTCAGCCCATAAAACTAATGAAACTTTGGGAACATGGATCAGCATGTTTTTAGGGGTGGAATTACAGTTGTTTTTTTCCTTGTATTCCCCTCTAATGAAAATAAACAAGTTGCTGTCACATACCTGGCCCTAGTAACTCTATATCAGATAATTTGGGGAATAAACCTCAATTATTCATATTAATATAGTTTATCATTATTATACACTAATTGTTCTTTAATTTTAGCAAAATTAATGAACAAAAATTTAATATCTGTAGAGCATTTATAAATCTATCTTCAAAGTTTATCCATTATTCATTGAACATATCTACAGTGTTAATAGCAGGTATCAAAGAAGTTTAAGATAGTCTCTACTCTCAAGGAATTTACAATCTCATTGGAAAGACAAGACATACAGATGAAACATTTAAATAATAATACAATCCAGTAAGTGCTTTAGAAATTGAGACAAAGGCAGTGATTCTTGTGGGCTGGAGTGAGTGGGGGAGACTCCATAAAGTAGGTGGGATTTGTACTGATTTTCAAAGAATGGATGGGATTTTGATAAGGAAGAGGGGGAATATTTATGACTGGGAAGATAGCATGAGCAAAATGGAAGTGAACATAAACCAGGATTAATGGGGAGCAGGGAAGATACCAGTCTAGAATTTCTAGGACTTCAGAAGAAAGAGGAGTGGGGGATAGAATTGGAGCCACAATAATGAAGGGAAGTAATATGGTACAGGTAATATTTTGGACAGATGAAGTCTTCGACCTTGCTTCTAATCTTTGCCTTAATTTTATGGTTTTAGGCATGTTCTAGTTCTGATAAACATGCTTTGGTAACTTCTTGGCTGAAAGGCGATATTCTTGGAGAAAAATTGGTAAACTTGGCAGATTATCTTTGTAATAAGGACTTGGAATCCAAAGTATCTTCAGAATCTTACTTCTCAGAAAGATGGACTCTTCTAAGCTTGGTATTATCCCAACATGTTAAAAATGGTAGGAAAAATGTGACTTTTGTTTTTTAGTAGGGGATAATCCTTATTCACTTTTGAGGGGGATTCCATGGTGCTCAGTTTGCATATTGTTGGTTGCCAATTATGATATTAATTCAGATAACTTTGTAAGTACTTTAAATGTTTATGAATTTTTGTAGCATGACTTTGGAGATAGTTAATGTTTTAGTTTATATCCCAAAGGGTCTTGAATTGAGCAAAGTTTCTCACTCTAATTTTGTAGACCATTTCTATTTTCTACTTAATTTAAAACTACTTTTTATCTGAGGGCTTTTATGTGTGAGAGAATGGGTTGATGGTAACATTTTGTCTAATACATAAACACCTCTTAAAAAAGAAAAAAAAAAAAACTATGGAAAGACCTATGTGGCTATTAACCCAAGGTAGGATATTTAAAAATACACTATTAATATTTTTTATTTTCTTGTCTGTTTTAACTTTTTTTATAGATTACTTGATTGGAGAAGTATATGTTGAAAGAATTATTGTTAAACTTCATGAAACTTTATCTAAAACAAAGAATTTGTCAGAAGCTGAAAATAGTGACTCATCAGTGTCTTTTATCTGTGATGTGGCTTATAACTATTTCAGCTCAGCCAAAGGATGCTTGCTAATGCCATCATCTGAAGATTTATTATTAACTCTCTTTCAGTTATGTGCTCAGAGCAAAGAAAAAACACATTTGCCAGGTAATTGCCTACTGCTCAAATGTTTTGTTGGGAATCTCCGGCTCTGACCTTCATAGTAAGTGTAAGTGCCCAGGCTTTATTAATTGAATCATAATGTGTTTGAAAATATAAAGCATTTTTAGTAAAGGCCTACAATTGTATACACTTCTAGCTTTAGAAACCAAGTTAAGCCGGGCTCGGTGGCTCAGTGTGTAATCCTGCACCTTTGGGAGGCTGAGGTGAGTGGATTGCCTGAGCCCGTGGGTTCGAGACCTGCCTGGGCAACTTGGCAAGACCTCATTTCTACAATAAATCAAAATGAGCCAGGCATGCTAGTGCGGGCCTGTGGTTCCAGCTACCTGGAAAGCTGAGGCAGAAGGATTGCCAGAGCCCAGTAGGTCGAGACTGTGGTGGCTGGGCGCGGCCACTGCACTCCAGTCTGGGTGACAGAGTGAGACTCCAATTCAAAAAAAAAAAAAGAAACCAAGTTAAAGATGTATGTAGATGTTATGACTAAAGTTTTTACTTGATATCAAGGAAGTTTGGAATGGGCCAGAATAAATGACTTGGAATCATAGTCCCTCCCTTCAGTAGCTCTGGTATGTTACTTAATTTTCTAGATGCCTCAGTTGCCTCATTCATAAAAGGGGATAATGATGTCTCTTTAGTAAAAATCATTCAGTCTTGGTGTATGTCAAAATAGAATTCAGAAGCTTTATGAGGACTATATTCTTACCTTATGTGCTAATTCAGCCTTTTTGATAGAGAGCTATCTTCCCTTAACTCTTTCTTTCACATCTCCAAAAGAAAAAACACTTTTGTAAATACATTCAGAGCGGAAAAAAATCTTACTATTTTATATTTATATGGCACAAGGTAGCTTGTATTTTTGCATATTTATGATAGTTACTTTATTTTGGCAATTGAATTCTAATTTTGTGTTATTTTTAAAATGGTATTTTTAAAATCTCAGATCTGCAGAATTATTTCAGACATTCTGTACTGATTAGAATTAATACAGTGAAAGTATAAATTCCTGTTGACATCTTGATTTTAGATTTTCTTATCTCTAAACTGAAAAATACTTGGCTCTCTGGTGTAAATTTATTGGTCCATCAAAATGGCAGTACATATAAAGAGAGTTCCTTCCTACGTCTGTCTGTTCAGTGGCTGAAGAACCAAGTTCAGTCTTCATCTTTGGATATCAAAAGGTAACCTATTTTGTGCTCAGTTGCAGTGTCTCTTTATATTTGATCAATGTCCTTAAATAAGACTACATGATTAGTGTGAGTACCTATGAAAAAATGACTTGTTAGATAAGTAATTTATAATACTCTAAGAAAAAAATGCTAAGAAACAGTTTTTTCCAAAAGCATTTTGTTTCAGTGATCATCTATTTAAACTCTCAATTTATTGAATGTCAATTATGACATACCTGCTTGGACTCCTAATTTGTAGTTAGTAATGTGATGTTGATACTATCCTTTGTTGTAGGCTGGCATGGATTGTAACCATAACATCTCATAGCTACCACACATACTGATTGTTCTTGGTTGTTTTTTTTTAGAACAAGTCGCCACTGTTTTAAGGCTGAATTGCAAGTATATTTCACATCTCCTACCTAAATCCATGTATAATACAAGTGAAAGTATCTGGAGGCTCTTGGATTTGGGTCACATAATTATGCTTTATTTCATAAGGTATATTTCAGAAATAAATAAGATAGTTATATTTCAAAAATATCTGGTCTGAAATAAGTCAAGTCCCTTCATTCTGAGATAGAAGCATCACTTGATTTCAAATCAAATGTTGGATTCAGTCCCCAATTTGATCATGTTATGTCAGCTTTTCTTTTTATATTCATCTGTTTTTTGTTGTTGTTGTCCAGGTAAGCAAGCTATTTAGGGCATTTAATGTATGCCATGGTATTCAAACTAGTTCTAGCAAAATTACTTCAGTTAAATTATTTGCATTATTTTTAGTCTTCAGAGCCTCTTGTCTGCTGTTGATGATTTGCTAAATGCACTTCGAGAGAGTGAAGATTCTTATCTTCTGGGAGTTTATATTGGAAGTGTAATGCCAAACAACAGTGAATGGGAAAAGATGAGACAGTCTCTTCCTATGCAGGTATTTTTGAAATTGGAAAGTGTATCTCATTCTGATGTTTGGACCTCATGCAAGCTTGAATATTTTTGTTTTAATCTGGGGAAGAAAAAAATGAATGAATGTCTTGCTCTGCCTTATGTTTGCAAGACACCGTTTGACACTGATATAGGCATGGTACCAAAGTAAATAAGATCTAGTTCTGGGCTGGGCATGGTGGCTCACACCTGAAATCCCAGCACTTTGGGAGTGTGAGGCAAGAGGATCACTTGAGCCTAGGAATTTGAGAGCAATGTAGGCAACATAGTGATATCTTGTCTCTACAAAAAATTTTTAAAAAAACTAACTAGGTGCAGTGGCGAATACCTAGAGTTCCAGCTACTCAGGAGGCTGAGGCGGAAGGATCACCAGAGCTCAGGAGGTTGAGGCTGTGGTAATTGTGCAGCTGTACTTTAGCCTAGGTGACAGAGTAAGATCCAGTCTCAAAAAAGAAATCTAGTTCTGTACTTAAGGAGTATTAAAGAAATACACATTAATAATTTCCTCTAGTAGATACCAAACTTCTAGGATTCTCTAGTTTTACTAAAAAAAGATATTCTGATGACTTCATTTTTGTTCCCTGTCTGAATTGCATAAGTAGTAAATAATTTAAAATATCAAATGATTATGTATATAATTTAATGTATTTTTTTTCACAGTGGTTATATAGACCTCTTTTAGAGGGAAGATTGAGTTTGAATTATGAGTGTTTCAAAACAGATTTTAAGGAACAAGATACAAAGACACTTCCCAGCCATTTGTGTACTTCAGCATTATTGAGCAAAATGATTTTAGTTGCACTGAAAAAGAAAATAACTCTAGAAAATAATGAGCTTGAGATAATAAGTAAGTATATATGAGCATTTAATATAATATAATGAATGAATAAATATAATGTTGAAATAATTTTGATTACACTGAAGTTTGAATCTAAGAATCTTCAGCTTCCTATTAACTATTTTAATGATGAGAAACTTGAAGTTACTTAAGTGATGAATGTTAAATTGAAAATTGGATGGAACATAGTGAAATCTTGGTATAATCTTGTTAGCTATAGAGCATAGTTTGGTGTAAGATTATTTACTCAAGTTGTCATGACATCAATATAAACAGATCCTGTGGAATATACCCTGAAGAAAATGGGTGAGGCTTTGGTATTTTATCAAGGATTCTGAATTTTTCATTGATTTAAAAAAAAAAATTAATACATAATAATTGTACATATTTATGGGGTGTATATGATATTTCAATACATGCATATCATGAGTAAGTAGGATATCCGTAACCTCAAATATTTATTATATCTTTGTGTTGAGAACATTTAAAATCTAGCTATTTTAAAATATACAATAAATTATTGTTAACCATGGTCACCCTACTGTGCTCTTGAATTCTAGGTCTTATGTCTTCTAACTGTGTTTTTATATCCATTAACCAACCTTTCTTCATTTACCCATTCCCCCTAACTTTTCTGGTCTCTGGTAACCATCATTCTGTTCTCTGTCTTAGTGAGATCCACTTATTAAGCTGCCACATATGAATGAGAACATGCAATATTTGTCTTTCTGTGCCTGGCTTATTTCCCTTAACATAATGACCTCCAGTTTCATCCTTGTTGCTGCAGATGACAGGATTTCATTCATATATATATATATATATATATATATATATATATAAAAAATATTTCATTCATTCTTTAGAGAAAAGGTCTTTTTCTGATACTCAGGCTGGAGTGCAATGGCACAGTCATGGCTCATTGCAGCCTGGACCTTCTGGGTTCAAGTGATTCTCCCATCTCAGCCTGTTGAGTAGCTGGAACTACAGTGTGTGCCACCATGCCTCCATGCCTGACTAATTTTTAATTTTTTGTAGAGGTGTAGGGTCTTGTGATATTTCCTAGGCTGATCTCAAACTCCTAGGCTTAAGTAATCTTCCTGCCTCAGCCTCCCAAAGTGTTGAGATTACAGGTGTGAGCCTCCGTGCCCAGCCAGAATTTTATTCTGTTTTATGACTGAATGGTATTTCACTTTGTATGTATACCAAATCTTTATCCATTTATCCGTTTATGGACACTTCAGTTGATTCTATATCTCTTGGCTGTCGTAAATAGTGCTGCAGTAAATATAGCTGTGCCAGGTATCCCTTTGATGGACTGATTTCCTTTCCTTTGGATAAATACCCAATGGGATTGCTGGATTGTATGACAATAGTATTTTTAGTTTCTTGAGAAACTGCCACACTGTTTTCCATAACAGCACTACTTATTTACATTTTCACAAGTGCATAAGAGTTCCCTTGTCTTTCTGTCCTCCTCAGCATTTGTTAATTTTTATCTTTTTGATAATAGTCATTCTTTTTCTTTTCTGTTTTGAGTCAGAGTCTACTCTGTCGCCCAAGCTCAAGTGCAGTGGCACAATCATGGCTACTGAAGCCTTGATCTGCTGGTCTCAGGCACTACTGCCTCAGCCTTCCAAGTAGCTGGGACTACAGGTATACACCACCATGCCTGGCTAATTTTTTATTTATTATGTAGATGAGGTCTTGCCATGTTGCCCAAGCTAGTCTTGAACTCCTGGGCTCAGGCAAACTTCTCTCCTCGGCCTCTCAAAAGATTGGGATTATAGGCATGAGCCACCGCACCCATGATAGCTCATTGTGGTTTTGATCTGTATTTATCTGATGATTGGTGATGCTGAGCATTTTTTTGTATACCTGTTGATAATTCGTATGTCACTTTTCCAGAAATTTTTGGCCCACTTTTTTTTTTTTTTTTTTGAGAAAGTAGGATTTATTGAGAAGACAAAAAAAGCTCCTATAGTAGGAGGACACCCAAGGGGGTTGCCCTTTTGCCCACTTTTTTTTTTTTTGAGTTGGAGTTTCATTCCATCGCCCAGACTGGAATGCAGTGGCCGCTCCTGGCCACCGCAGCCTCAACCCACTGGGTTCCAGCTATCCTTCCATCTCAGCCTTTCGAATAGCTGGAACTACAGGCACGCGCTACCACGCCCAGCTAATTTTTTGATTTATTGTAGAGATGAGGTCTCGCCAAGTTGCCCAGGTGGGTCTCGAACCCGCGGGCTGAGACAATCCACTCACCTCAGCCTCCCAAAGGCGCAGGATTACAGGCTGAGCCACTGAGCCCAGCTTCATGTGTCTGTTTTTAATACTGATACCATGCTGTTTTGGTTCTGTTGATTTTTAAACCTCTATATTTTGTATTTATCAGGCTCTAAACTTTTTCTTGGCAAGTGGATGTTCAGATGTTGAATCCCAAGAGCACTTAGTACCTCAGCAAATTTCCCTGTTTCAGGAAATGGCTTAGAATTGTAGGTAGCATTGTGGCTTGTACAAGATGGTGTTAAATGTAGAATATTTGCAGAAATCTTGTGTCAGTCTTGTTTGTAAGCTCTCTACTTAAACATTTACTAGTAGGGGAATAATACTTAGTATTACTATATAATACTACTTAGGTTTTGTGGAAGAAAGCTAAAATGCTTGGTGAGCAGACTTCACATTTCGTTAAGGGCAAGGAAATAAGCCTATAGCTTACAGTCTGCTTACAGAGTGCACCTGTCCAAACACAGAACTGGAAATCAGAGTAATAACTTTTGTAGTAGTTTATTTTTGTAAATTGTTTTAACTACGGTGTAGCGGTATTGTTTATTTAATCTTCTCATCGACCCCATCTGTTAGATATTGTTATTGTTTTTGTTATCTTGTCTTGATTAGAGTTACTTAGATGGTAAGGGTAGGATTAGAATTTGAACCATATCTCAAGGCTTCTGACTCCAAAATCCATACATGGCTTTGTAAAAAGGAATTGTTACTGTGTATTAGAAACCTACAATATGCCAGGTTTTGTGATAGATATTTGATCATTTAATTCTCACAACACGACTGTGAGGTAGTTATGTCGTGCCATCATTGATAACTCTTTGTATAGCTCAGTATAGACACAGATTTGAACCTAGACCAGTCTGTCATCAAGGCCCATGCCCTTTTTACTGTATCATGCTGTCTCCCATTTCTTAACACAGTGACTTGAACTCTATCTCAGTTCTTGAGTCCCTTAGTTGTTTTTCTTTTTTTTTTCTTTTCTTTTTTTTTTTTGAGTTGAAGTCTCACTCTGTCACCCAGGCTGGAGTACAGTGGCACGCTCATGGCCACCACAGCCTCGACCTGCAGGACTCAGGTGATCCTTCTGCCTCAGCCTTCCAAGTAGCTGGAACTACAATCACGCGCCACTGTGCCCGGCTAGTTTTTTTATTTATTGTAGAGATGAGGTCTCGCCATGTTGCCCAGGCTGGTTCTTTTTTTTCTTTTTTGAGACTATGTTTCGCTATGTTGACCAGGTTGGTCTTGAACTCCTAGGCTCAAGCAATCCTCACACTTTGGCCTCCCAAAGTGCTGGGATTACAGGTGTGAACCACTGCACCCTGCTGGTTTTTTTCCTATATGCAGCTTCTTACCAACTGTGCCAAGATAGTAGAAAGATTCTTTCAGTATCTCTAGTAACTTAGATTCTTATTACTCTTCACTAATCAGTAAAAGGGCCAAGCAAAATTTGAGAGCAAGGTGGTATTTTGTATCAGACATAAGTTTTCAGTTTTCATTATTCTTGTACATCTCAAAGCAAATTTGAAAATCAGTTCATAGATATTTTTAGATGAGTGAGCACAATAGTGTTAGAAATGGGGCAGAAAAAGTGAAAATAATTAAGAGTGTATTCGCAAAATACATTTGATAATTTGATACCATTCATTCTATTAGTTGCAGAACTGCTCTATTCACTGCAGTGGTGTGAAGAATTAGACAACCCATCCAGTTTTCTAACAGGATTTTGTGAAATGCTTCAAAAAATGAATATTACATATGATAACTTACGTGTACTTGGTAATACTTCTGGCCTTTTGCAATTATTATTTAACAGGTAAGAATCTCTCAATTTTCATTTTTTTGAACAACTTATTTTACTTGTTTATGGCTTTACCTTTGATAAGATGTGTGTTTCATGCTAATGTTTCGGTGATAGAGTTTATCTAAATAATTTCTATTTTTAGTGATAAACACTTTATGGATATTAAATACTTAATTAGTCTTCTGGGACAAGATATTTGTCCTTTGCTTCTTTATTAAATCCATGGATGCATTCATAAGGCAGATGATAAAGAAACAAGTAGAAGCCTACCTTAATTGTTTTAATTTGTCTCTGTAATCCATCCTTCCAGTGCTTTCAAATTCAACTTTTATCTTAACATGTTGTTATATGTGTGTCTTAGTTGCAACCATAGAAACCTTTCCCCTAGATGAGGAAAGTAGATGACAATGGATTCCTTATGAAGGTTATAGCAGTTAGATATTTAGCTTATTAAAATTATTATATTAGGATGGACATAGTAGCTCACGCCTATAATCCCAGCACTTTGGGAGGCTGAGGTTGGAGGATCGCTTGAACCCAGGAGTTGAAGACCAACCTAGGCGACATAGCAAAACCTTGTCTGTCCACATAACATCAAAAATTTAGCCGAGTGTGGTGGTGTACGCTTATAGTCCCAGCTAATCCGTAGTCTGAGGCAGGAGGATCACTTGAGCCCAGCAGGTCAAGGCTGCAGTGAGCTGTGATCGTGCCACTGCACTTCAGTCCGGACAATGGAATGAGATCCTGACTCAAAACAAAAAAAGAAAGATAAAAAGAAATTACTGTGTTGAACTGCTTTCTCTTGCCTATCTCAGTTTATCCCTTGCCTATAGTATATTGAGCATGTGTTGCAGGACCCAGGCTTCCTCTCCAGTCCCAACTTTATTTACTTGACATTCAAAAACTTTCTTCAGTGGATATTAGTACCTTATTGGTTCTTCAACTTCAGCCAGCCTAAGTGTCCTCTGGGAGATATCTTTTTCCCAGTTGCAGCCTGTGATCTTCTAGCCTAACCTCCAAGGTCATCTTTTCTGTTGGAAATGAAGGGATTTTGGGTTGCCTTGGGATGAGAGCTCAGTACCAGTTGTGAAGGAGTATTAAAGCCTAAACTCCTAATCCTTTGGGTAATTAATTGCAGTTGCTTAGATGCAAAGCCCTAAGTGAGTTGATGCTGTCAGGAGGTGATTTATTTAATTCTGGTAAAGGAATCCGGGTAGCCACTGTTTAAAAATTGCATTAAGTTCACTTTCAAAATGGAATATATATATTTTTTTCCTTTTTTAGATCCAGGGAACATGGCACACTGTGGTCTCTTATTATTGCTAAGTTGATCCTTTCCCGAAGCATTTCATCTGATGAAGTAAAACCACATTATAAGAGAAAAGAAGGGTATTTTTATTTAAAATGTTTTTACTTTGTAATTTATTGTAATTGGTTACCTTGGCAATCCCCACTTAATAAATGTCTCTAATGAAGCAAGAAAATAAGGTTTAGGAAATGAAGAAATTGAAGGCTTTAAATCAGGTTAAATTGTTTTAGGTTAAGGACACACCTGTTTTTAAAATAAGCATTTTAAAGTGTGTCACCTTTTGTTGTAGAATTTTATACTGTACTTGCATTTCATAAATTTGTTCCTTTCCCAGGAAAACTTTCTGGTTGAGTTTTTCCCTCTCCCTAACAGCCTTCTCTTGTCATTTATTTGCTGTCTGGAAGAGGAAGGGAAAGTTACTGACTCCTCTTCGCCTCTCTTTTTTTTTTTTTGAGTTGGAGTCTCACTCTGTCACCCAGACTGGAGTGCAGTGGCCGCTCCCGGCCACCGCAGCCTCGACCTGCTGGGCTCCGGCGATCCTTCCGCCTCAGCCTTCCAAGTAACTGGAACTACAGGCGCGCACTACTACGCCCAGCTAGTAAGTTTTTGATTTATTGTAGAGATGAGGTCTCGCCAAGTTGCCCAGGCGGGTCTCGAACCCGCGGGCTCAGGCAATCCACTCACCTCAGCCTCCCAAAGGCGCAGGATTACAGGCTGAGCCACCAAGCCCAGGTCTTCTCCTCTCTTAATAAGAATCATCTTACTTAAGTACATTGTAGAAATGTAATAACTGGTCAGGCTCGGTGGCTCAGCCTGTAATCCCGCGCTTTGGGAGGCTGAAGTGAGTGAATTGCCTGAGCCCGTGGGTTCGAGACTCGCCGGGACAACTTGGCGAGACCTCATCTCTACAATAAATCAAAAAAATTGCTGGCGTGGTAGCGTGCACCTGTAGTTCCAGCTACTTGGAAGGCTGAGGCGGAAGGATTGCTAGAGCCCAGCAGGTCGAGGCTGCGGTGGCTGGGAGCGACCACTGCACTCTAGTCTGGGCCACAAAGTGAGACTCTAACTTGGAAAACAAGGAAAAAAAAAAAAAGAAATGCGATAAATGTGTTCTTAAGACAAAAAAGTAGATTGTGGATTTGGGCATACTAGTGAAGCTCAGTATTCAAATTAATATTTAGCTGAGATTTACCAAGAAGTGTTTTGAATTTACTGACTTACTAAGAAAAATTCTGCAATGATACATATATATGTTTTGACATAGTAGAATTCTAAACTAAATTTTAACCTTTACACCTTATTTGAAACCTTTTTATTTTGAGACAATTGAGAGACACATGAATATGTAAGAAATAATACAAAGAATAAAAATAATTAAAAAATAATACATATGCCCTTTATCTAATGTCCCCCAGTAGGACCATTTTGCATAACTTTTTTACAGTATTACAATCAAGGAAATGACATTGATGTAATCCATTAACTAGGTTTAAATGCTCATATGTGTGTGTGTGAGAGAGGGAAAGAGAGAGAGAGTGTGTGTGTGTGTGTGTGTGTGTGTGTGTGTGAGAGAGAGAGAGAGAGAGAGAGAGAGAGAGAGAACACGTGTGTGTCTTCTAAGTAGCTCACATGTCATCACCACCACAGCCAAGTTTTAACTAGGTTTAAATGCTCATATGTGTGTGTGTGAGAGAGGGAGGGAGAGAGAGAGAGAGAGAGAGAGAGAGAGAGAGAGTGTGTGTGTGTGTGTGTGTGAGAGAGAGAGAGAGACAATGTGTGTGTCTTCTAAGTAGCTCACATGTCATCACCACCACAGCCAAGTGTAGTACAGCACAACTTTGTTTAGGGATTCCTCATGTTACCCTTCTATCGCTTCAGCCACCTATCTCCCTTCCTTCCGTTGTTCTAATACCTAGCAACCACTAGTGTATTCTCCGTCTCTATAATTATGTCATTTAAGACTATTATACAAATGGAATCATATGGTATGTAGCTTCTTGATAGTAACGTTTTCATTTAGCATAATTTTTTACTTTTTTTTCTGATTATAGATGTAATATGGAATTAACAAAAGAACTAGTACTAAGAATTATTACTAAAGAACTAATACAAAGGAGATGGAATGCTTGACATACAGATATCAATAACTTTCCTATTCACTTGTAATAATCAATTTTAAAAATGATACAAAGAAAAAAATTCCATTTACAATGACAGCAAAACTATAAATACCTAGAAATAAATGAACAAAAATTGCAATGATAAAACTTTAATAAAAATCACAAAAGATGTGAAATGAATTATAAAAATGGTTGTATCAATCTGTAATTCCAGTGCAAACTTAATCAAAATTTCAGTTTTTTATTTTTGAAAAACTTGGTAAACTGTTCTAAACATAGCATACACTTGAATGAAAATGTACTCAAGAATAGGTAGGAAATTTGTGAAAGAAAAACATGGGCCGGGCGGGATGACTCAAGCTTGTAATCCTAGCACTTTGGAGGCAGAGGCGAGAGGATTGCCTGAGCCCAGGGATTTGAGACCAGCCTGGACAACTTGGTGAGGCCTCGTCTCTACAATAAATCAAACAATTAGCTGGGCATGGTAATGCATACCTGTAGTTGCAGCTACTTGGAAGACCGAGGCAGAAGGATCGCCTGAGCCCAGCAGGTCGAGGTTGCGGTGGCCGTGAGCATGCACTGCATTCCAGCCTGGGCAAAAGAGTGAGACTTAAACTCAAAAATAAAAGGAAAGAAAAAGAAACAAGTGGAAGTGACTTTAACCCTACCAAATATAATACAAACTATTGAATTATAGTAATCAACAGTATAAAATTGGAGAATAGACAAATTAGTGAATTTGGAGTCCAGAAACCAATCCACACATACATGTAAATTTAGGTTTTGTTATATGTGGCACATCAAATCATTGAGTTAGTCAATAATAAATAATGGTAGAAAAATGAGCATGTCTTTGAAAAAAATAATGAGATCCCCTTTCCTTACATTACACATAACAAGATATATTTGATATTATAAAGTGAAAACTTCTTGCAACCTAAATGCGTATCAATGAATGGATAAACAAATATGTGATGTAGACATAATGGAATATTCAGCCTTAAAAAAGGAAGGAAATTCTAACATGCTGCAAATATGGATGAACCTTTAGTGCATTATGCTCAGTGAAATCAGCTAGTTACAAAAAAACAAATACTCTATGATTCCTCTTATATGAACTACCTAGAATAGTCAGATTAATAGAAATAGAATGTAGAAGGTGGTGGCCCAGGGTTGGAGGGGAAAGAGGGATGGGACATTTTTGTTTAGTGGGTAGAGTTTCGGTTTTGCAAAATGAAGAGTTCTGGAGATTAGTTACACGACAATGTGAATGTACTTAATACTGCCAAACTATATGGTTAAAAATGGTTAATATATAAATTTTATGTGATATGTATTTTGTGGCAATTAAACTTTTTTGAGTAATTTTTATTTTTTAATATTCTTTTTGAGTTGGATTTTCACTCTGTCACCCAGGCTGGAATGCAGTGATATGGTCATGGCTCACCACAGCTTCGCCCTCCTGGGCTCAGGTGATCCTTTTGCCTCAGCCTTCCAAGTAACAGGGGCTATAGTTGCACATCACCATGCCCAGCTAATTTTTTTATCTTCTGTAGAAACGAGGTCTTGCTATGTTGCCCAGGCTGGTCCCAAACTTTTGGGCTCAAGCAGTCCTCCCTCCTTGGCCTCCCAAAGTGCTGGAATTACTGGCATGAGTCACTGTACTCATCCTTAAATCATATTTTTGAAAGATAAAATCATATGTGTGACAAAAATTGAATAAACAAAGGTTACAGAGACATATGACAAGATGAGAGAAGACATTTGTAAATTAACAAAAACCATAATATGGGAATTGTTCCTGTAAAATTATAAAACCATTTAAATTGAAAAACGTATCAAGGATTTGAGTAGGCAATTCATGGATGAAATGATCAAAGATAATTCACTATGAAATGTGAAATATGAATGGATTTGCTGGCTAGGCGCTTGGTGGCTCATGCCTGTAATACCAGAAATTTGAGAGGCAGAGGTGGGAGGATCACTTGAGGCCAGGAGCTCAAGACCAGTCTGGGCAACACAATGAGAGACCCCTTCTCTACCAAAAAAATGAAGTGAAATAAAATAAACTAGCCAATTATGGTGGAACATGCCTGTTGTCCTAGCTACTTGGGAGACAGAGGTAGAAGGATGACTTGATCCTGGGAGTTTGAGGCTGCAGTGAGCTACGATTGTACCATTGCACTCCAGTGTGGTTGGCAAAATGAATTCCTGTCTCTTAAATACAATTTTTTTAAAAATTAAAAGTTCTTCCTTATTAATAATGACAAGTACAAATTAAAAACAGTTTTATCCACCATATTGCCAGGAATCATAAAATTTTATTAATTATGTTTCACAACAGTCACACATGTACATTTTTAGTGATCACACTTTTTCAGAAAGCAATTTGAAATTACCAAAATATGACATTTAAATTCTTTGATCTTACAATTTCACTTCTAGGAATCTAGCCTGAAGAATTTTTGACATATCCAGAATAATATCTGCTCAAGGACATTTATTGCAGCATTTGTGAGAGCAAATATTTTGGGGAGAAAAAGCCTAAACATAAATAATGATGTGTCCATAGTACAGAGTGTTATGTAGATATTGTTTTTGTTATGTAGCTTTAAAACGGAGTAATTTATTCTGACAAAATCTACAAAGTATGTAAGTTGTAAATGATAGAACAGTATGTTTAGTGTCATCTCTTTTATGTGAATAAAACCCAACAACATATATATATGTCTGTATACACATACATTTATACACACACACACACACACATACACACATATATGAGGGGGGACCCAATAAAAACTGGAATTACCTTTTGAAGGGCAGGCCCTCATATTACAGACTTCCCCTACTAGTTAAGTGTTCTTGGAACCCATCATCCTTACTGTACCAGCTAGCATTGTAAGAGCCTGTCTTTGGCTACAGTAAATTTTTTTTTTTGGAGATTCTTTCAAGTGTTTGCCCATGGGTGATTCACGAGCCCACCTGCCCACACTATGCTGTGTGTTCAGTAGATTTTCACCAAAAATGACATGACTCTTGTGCCCCACCCTCCCTATTTACCCAATCTCACCCTGAGTGACTTCTTTTTGTTTTCTGAATGAAAAAGGTCCTCAAAGGGAAACATTTTGCAGATGTGGAATAGGTAAAATTAAAAAATGGCAGAAGCAGTAAAAGCCATCTAAATCAACAAGTTCACAAACTGTTCTGAGCAGTGGAAAAAGTGTCTTGATAGATGCATCATCTGGAGAGTACTTTGAAAGTGAAGTTTAAATGTGCAAGAGTAAATACACAATTTTTTATAAGTAAATTCTGGGGTTTTTTGGGCCCCCCTTGTATATCAGTGAATATCAGTTCAAAGAAAGGATACAACAATCTGTACTGTTTAAATTGAATTGACTTTTAAAGAGAACATAATCTGATATTGCTAGTGTAATTGTTAAAAATCTTGGGAGAAGTTATATATTCTCATTTTTTAAGATTAGAAATATGCAGTAAAGAGAAAGAAGCAACAAGAAAAATACATAATTCCATTGAGTCAGCACTTGTTAATCTCTTGTAGTTTTTAAAATTTTTTTCTGAATAATTATTTTGTGTGGTAGAATTACTAGTCTTTTTGAATAGTCTGAATAAAAAGAATATTATGAAATAGCTGCATATTTGGACTAACTATAATTAATTTTTTTCTTTAAACAGTTTTTTTCCACTTACTGAAGGCAATTTGCATACCATTCAAAGTCTGTGTCCATTTTTGTCAAACGAAGAAAAGAAAGAATTTAGTGCTCAATGCATACCTGCTCTTTTGGGCTGGACTAAGAAAGATCTTTGCAGTACTGATGGTTAGTTGCTTGATAATATTTCATTAATTATTGCTTGAAATGTTTCTTAATTTGTAAAACCAAATCTAACAGATAAACTGAATTACAGTGGATTTTTTCCTAGTTTACATCAATGAGTGGCATTAGACAGTGGTTATCATTTTACAGTACAGAAATACCACAGCCTTAAGGGAAGATTTACACCCACAAATTCCCTCTAATTATATCTATCTGTAGCTTTTTAAAGCTATTCCTCATTTCTCTCTAGTCAACCAATGATTGAACATAAAAAGGCAAAGGAGGGGGAATAGCTTTTGTTGTATTTGAAACCTGTTTGAACACTCTGCACTTTGTTCATTTGTTTGTTAATTTAATAAACACTTTTGAACAACTGCTACATGACAGTTCCTCTTGTAGGGAAGACATAAATAAAACTACATTATGTGACAACTGTCATAGCAAAAAAATGTCCTATATGGAAGTGGCGTAAAAGGAGTTTCCAGTTTGCTTCAAAGAGAGTCAGTTGTGATTTTACAAAGAGAAATATTTCAACTGAGTGTTGAAAAATAGTTTTCCATGTGAATATAGTCAGAGAAAGGCATTCCTGATAAACAAAAACGGGTACAGATTGTTCAGTCTGACTGGCATTTAAGGTAGAGTGTTGAGTATAGAGGGTATTAAGCCATACTATAGGATGGATTTTGAGAAATGGAAGGAATTTTAAGGAGTCGGGACCCCATCAGAGCTTACCCCATATAGTAGCTGCTTATTGAGTAAAATGAATGATGAAGCAGTATGTTCTATTTTCCATTGTTATTTAACTTCCCACTTTTTAGCTATTGGGTTTTTTGGTTGGTTTTATTTGAATGGGAGTTTGCTGAATATGTCCTGTACTTTTGAAACCAAAACAAGTAAACAGCATAGGTTAGTTCAAGGCATAGTATCGTTCACTTACTGTCCCCTCTCCAAATTTTGTGTTCTGTGCATGGTGCTGGCTATGAAGACAGGATTTCTGCTCTGTGAAATTTACAAGCTCATTTGTTGACTCTCATATAAACTATTTTTAGGGTTCTTAACTTGAGAACTTCTCAAGGAAGTTTTTTTTTTAACTTCTCAAAGTGGGCGTTCTTTTTTATAGTAGCAATACAATTAATTTTTTTAAATTTCCATTTTGAATTTTACTTTAGGAGGTTTTGGACATCTTGCCATTTTTAATTCTTGTCTACAAACCAGAAGTGTTGATGATGGAGAGCTATTACATGGTATATTAAAAATTATAATATCCTGGAAGAAAGAGCATGAAGATATTTTTCTTTTCAGTTGGTGGGTGATGCTTTATACTATGTTCTCCCTCCTATATATAACGATGTATCTTATAGTCACAATTTTGTAGAGTAATAATGCTAGACATTTAAGTCAGTCATTTTTAAGCATATAAGATTTAAAATAGAATATTTTCTATTTGCATGTCAGTATAATTGTTTAATAGTTTTTGGTTTGTTACTTTGTTTTTGTCTTTATCACAGTAATCTATCAGAAGCAAGTCCAGAGGTCCTGGGTGTAAATATAGAAATAATGCGTTTCCTTTCCCTGTTTCTGAAATATTGCTCCTCTCCTTTGGCAGAGAATGAGTGGGACTTCATCATGTGCTCCATGTTGGCTTGGTTGGAGGTAAGTTAACCTAATATGTCATCATCTCTTTTGTGTCTTTGTATATACCTTTGTGTCAGAACTATTTACTAATCTTGTTCTTTCCATCATGATTGCAGTTAGCTCTTTTGCAGATATTTAAAACACTTTATAGACGCTCTCCTCACCAGCTAGTATTTGACAGAATAATAACATGAGAAGTTTAATGACTATCAGGATCATTCAGTGACCGAATCTCCTAACTGCTATTAAAATGTTATTATAATATTTGTAGCACAGCTCTTTCAGATTTTATTTTTCATATCATAATTTTGGTCTTTTTTGGTTGTAATTAAATCATTTCGAAAATATACTGTACCAGTATTGCAAGAATAATGCATTAAAGATTTAGCAAATTCAGAGAGAATTAGTGTAATTTTTATGATCCAAAGCAACTAGAGTTTATAACACTTGGGGACTTTGAGGCAGCATGGCAGTCAGGGTTGAATTGGTCTGAATCTCTGCTTTGCCAGCTATTAGCTTTGTAACTTAGGCTTTTAAACTTGAACTATTTGAGCCTCGGTTTTCTTATTTTACAGTAACACATAATTTGTAGGGCTACTGAGAAGATTAGAGATGTGTATTTAAAGTCTCTGACTTGGTATTTTCTTCCATACTTTAGGAATAAAAGATATTTTGGAATAAATTGTTCATTAATGATTCTGATTCATAGTATTTCATTTTGAAAAGCTATTTTAACGTAAATTATACAAATTCTTCCTGAGACTGCTTCAACTTCAAATGCTTTTTATTTTAAAATTCAAAGAAATAAAAGAAGGGCTTCTTTTTATTGGCTTTATTTATAGTGTTCTGGTAGAAGTCTCTTTACCTATTTCATTTTTGTTGTTTCTTCAGACAACAAGTGAGAATCAGGCATTGTATTCTGTTCCACTTGTGCAACTATTTGCCTGTGTCAGCTGTGATTTGGCCTGTGATCTCAGTGCTTTTTTTGACTCCACAACTCGGGATACTATTGGCAGCTTTCCTGTAAATCTAATCAGTGAATGGAAAGATTTTTTTTCTCAAGGCATCCACAGTTTGCTTTTGCCTATTTTGGTGACTGTTACAGGCAAGTAAAAAAGGGAATAATAATGAGATTTATTGTAAATATGACTTGTTGAAAAATTAAAAACAAAATATTTAGATGTTTATATCAAATGGTACTGAATAGTAAAAGAAAAGAGTCAGAAAAGAAAGCTTGGCTTCTCAGAAGCATCATCTATTCTTCTGCTTTATAGAAATGAATTGAAAAATGGCAAGGTATCTAATGATCGTTGCAAATTAAAATAGTAATTCAGATAACATGACTAGATTATGTGAATAGAACCTTTCTATTGAACATTTACTTTCTTTTTAAAAGATGAGATAAAATTCATTAAAACAGTTGAGATTTACTAAAATATATTCAGTTCATGTTTCTAGTTAAGACTGCTATATTGTTTATGCCTAGTTTTTATTTCATTTGCTTAAATGGCATTTGATTGTGATTTAGTCAAGTATATTACTAACTTTCTTTTGAGATGTGTAAGTTTCCTTCCTTGTTGCCATCAGGGGAAAACAAAGATATCTCTGAAACATCCTTTCACAATGCGATGCTGAAGCCCATGTGTGAAACATTAACATATATCTCAAAGGATCAGCTATTGAGTCACAAACTTCCTGCAAGATTGATTGCTGACCAAAAAACAAACTTGCCCGAATATCTCCAGACTTTGTTAAATACATTGGCCCCGTTACTACTCTTCAGAGCTAGGCCTGTGCAAATTGCTGTTTATCATATGCTGTACAAGTAAGAATTATTCCAATTGAATCAATGTTATAGTGGTCTAATAAATATATACTTAGTTTTTACTTTTAATTATTTAAAAAAGTCAAATGTTAAAAAGGAGTTCTGACAAGGTATTTCAATTGTAGGAATGCCAAGTTGTTTGATCTTTTAGGTTATTGTTCTCCATACACAATTTATATTTAAATAGTCCTGACCATAGTGGTTATTTCAGAGAAAACTTCTTAAAACATGTACCCATTACAAAATAAGTATTGGTCATTCTGCTCTTGAACATGATTTAACAATGGACAATTTAATATAAAAGCTTTAAAAATAATATTCTAATTTTCAGATTGATGCCTGAATTACCACAATATGATCAGGATAATCTAAAGTCATATGGAGATGAAGAAGAAGAACCAGCCTTGTATGTTTTTTTTTTTATAATTTGCTTTATTAGATTATCTTACTCCATCTCACATTCAAGAACAATTAAGAGAGAAATAATCAATAAAACTTTCTTTGGCTACATGGTCGCTGTGGAAAGAGTGTATCAGTTCAAATATCTATTGAGTTTTGTACTTTCCACTTTGTGCAAAGTATTAGATTCTGAAGGCAGAATACAGTGTTTAGTAAACTCTTTCTTAAGAAAAAGAACTTACCTAATGTAGATGATACTATCTTAAACTCCTTAAGGAAAGGAACTTATCTAATGTAGACAATACTACCTTATAATAGAAGATATAGAGTATGACAAGTACTAAGAAAAAAGATAGATGCTAAGAATAAGGATAGATAGCATTATGGGATCACAATTAATGTACATCAGGAAGGGAAGACTTTTTCATGAGGAAGCAGCATTTAAAGTGGATTTTTATGGTTAGGTAGCATTTCAGCAGGAAAGGAAAGACAATATAAGTTAAGGAAGCATGCTAAGGCCTGAATGTTAGGATGTATTTGGGCAATGTTGACTAGTTGCCACTTAACTGTTTTTTTTTTTTTTATTGTCACTATCTTTCTTCACTTGAATGTAAGCCCTAGGAAGCAAGAATTTCTGTTTTATTTCTGACTATATGTACAGCACTCAGAATGTTTCCTGGCCTATAGCAGACTAATGAGAGGTATTTTGAATGAAAGAATAAATGAAGCAATGTGTATAGAGTAGTCAAGGTATAGTGGAAGATGATAATGTAAATGAATATATTAGTTCAATTAAAAAGAAAATTACCTCACATTGTCATGAATTAAAGTAAATGTTAAATTTGTTTTCCTGAAAATACATAGTCTTGTGGTTTTTTTTAAAGCTCATAATTATTTTCTGTGTTTATTGTTCTGATTAATCGTGTGATTGTGACATCTCTCTTAATAGTGCTATGTAGACAATATACAATAAAATAGAAATTAGGATGAAGTGACAAAGTTCAGAGTCTTAAACATCTTTTTGCCCTTTGTAGGATGATCAAGGGCCTGGAGGGATTTAGAATCCCTAATAGTTTTCCCAGCTAGTTGAGGGAACTTGGACTAATCATTTGTCTTTTCTGGGTTTGTAATTTTTTTTCATACTTAGTAGAAATTGAAATAGATGTGATTTTTGTTCAAGTGCTAATATGCAGGGTTCATATTTTTATAGCATGCCTTTTGACTTCTACTGTTATCTTGTGAAATTAGGAATTAAAATTGAATTGATAGAGGGGAATTTTTCAGGTTTTTTTGGAAAACAGAGAAAGATTTTTCTAGAATGCTTGAAGTTTATAAATGTTGAGTTTATTAAGGGATGAGTTGTAAAGAAAACTGTGATGTTTAATCATTGATTCTTAGGTCACCACCGGCAGTGCTAATGTCTCTTCTTAGCACTCAAGAGGACTTACTAGAAAATGTGTTGGGGTGTATTCCTGTTGGACAGATAGTTACTATAAAACCACTGAGTGAAGACTTCTGTTATGTCTTGGGATACCTCCTCACATGGAAATTAATACTTACTTTCTTTAAAGCTGCTTCATCTCAGGTAAATAAATAGGTGACAACTTTTGACAATTCTGTCCTAATGTGTTTCAGCGTTACTGATCTAAATATCTTCCTTCTCCTACTTTTGAATAAAAGGGGAAATGCCTTATGTTTTAATCTAATATTATCCAACTGACTTCAGACATTCTGCTAATAAGTTTATTCCTGTTCCTACTTTCTCACCTCTCCAGGCACATAGTTTTGCAAAAGTAATTAATCTATGAAATGTGGCTGGATCCATTTTTTTTTCTAACTGAATGTAGTCATCAAGTCCTTTTGTCATTGCAAGAAATAATATTTATATAGCTTAATTTTGTACTATCATAGTAATAATTTCAAAATAATTGGATTTTGTGTTTTTTTTCTGTTTGTTTTTCGGGGAGGTCAACACTTTTACTCTGTTATAGAGGTATTCGTTGATACAGCATTGGAAATTTACCTTATTTGAAAATCAGTATTCAGAAAAGGATCTGTGAAACTTTACCTAAGTAATTCAAACTGTTATTGTTAAATAGTGAAAATATTCTAATTATAATTTACCCAAATTATTCCAGCAGCCACTAGATGTCTCTGTTGTCCCATGTTTAGAAATACCTTATTGTCCAGGAAGAAACTTTTCTTTTAGAAAGATCTCCACTTAAAATATTAGTCAAGCTTTGATTGAATCAGCCTAGTAAAATATGTGCTTTCTTTGACAAGTCAGTACAAAAATATTTAGTTTATCACTTCATATCTATAGTGTTATTAAATATTCATGATGTTCATTTCCGATGTGATTTTTCAGAATTTTTAAATTATATGTTGTTGCTCACAACCTGTACCTTGGCACAAATATATCAATCCATGAATCTTTGCATTTGTATATCTAAGGGGAAAAATCAAATCACAGAGATGACGTTGATCTAATTACCAACTTGATTTGTTTTCTCTTCAGGCCTGTGGCTTACTTTTGTGACTAGTCTGCATTTGTTTGCCATATTCTTTAGTTTCTTTAACCTATAATTCCCCTACCATACTTTTCTTTCTTGTCATTGTTTTGTCCAGCTGTTTTATAGCCTGTCATACAATTTGGATTTGTATCGTTGTTTTCTCATTAGATTCTGGTTAATTTCAGCAAGGGTATTTCTGCTGCACAAGTTGTGATGTGTCCTCAGTATATTAACCCAGTAGCCATGTAATGTCATTGTGTCCTTTTGCAGGTTGAGTATCCTTTATCTGAAATGTTTGGGTCCAGTAGTGTCTCAGATTTTCAATTTTTTTTTTGATTTTGGGATAATTTCATTTTACTTACCTATTTAGCATCTCAAACCCAAAAATTTGAGCAGGAATGTTTCCTTTTGAGTGTCATGTTCGCACTCAAAAAGTTTCAAATTATGGAACAATTTGGATTTTGGGATTTGGGATGTTCAACCTCCTTTGGTAATACTAAGTTTGATTACTCAGAAAAGGTAGTCCTCCCCCATCCCCCAACAGACTTTTCCATGGTAAACGTACTTTGGTAGTATTTTAAGAATAAATTCTAAATCTTATGACTTGATCCTTGTATTTGAGTATTCATAGTGTTCAGAAAATGGTATCTTTGTACTTTGAGGAGATGTATAGTGTGGTAGAAGAAACTGTGTTAAAACCAATACAAATAGTAAAGTACCGCACAGTGAATGGAAAAGTGCAAGCTGTGTTACTAAGGGACAAGAAGGAATTGTAAAAGCATGGGACTCACACAGATACTTTTAGGGTTTCCAGTGGTGCTACCTTTTCTAATTTTTAAGAGAAACCAGAAATTCTTATTTCTATGTGAAATATCTCGATTGAAAAAAAACATCCACCACTATGAGAAGAACTTAAGGATGTTTTGGGCTACTAGTACATACTTTCTGTTTTAAAGGGAAGCTGGAGTTTTTGATATAGACTGAAGTCAGCCATAAAAATGGGATTCGTTTTAAGCAGGGATTCGAAAGATTAAGAACTATGATGTGGAAGGGATATGTGGAAGACTTGGGAGAAGATTGAGTGTGTCATCTGTGGGAATGGTGAATAGATTTTCTTAACCAAAACAGAGACTCCAGTCTAAGGTGAGTGTACTGACAGGGAGACAGAGAAAGAGGTTAGAAAGTTATGTGTAATAATGAGGGAATAATGAAAATGTCTGCTAGTTTATGAGGAAAGGAAATCTGTTATACTTTGATATATTTCATACTAATTGTCTTGGTTTAATTGGGTTTATTAACAAAATTATTTGCTCTCTACCAGCTTAGGGCTCTGTATTCAATGTATCTCCGGAAAACAAAGAGTTTGAATAAATTGCTCTATCACCTGTTCAGGCTTATGCCAGAGAATCCAACCTATTCAGAGACAACCATTGAGCTCTCAAATAAGGACCCTAAAACTTTCTTTACTGAGGAGCTCCAGCTGAGTATTAGAGGTCAGTTTGTATTCTTTTTTGGATACCACGTTCAGACTATGTTGTGTTAAACTTTTCCCTGGGGGTGTGGAGATTAACCCCCAAAGTGGGTCTTGGCTATGAGAATACTAAAATGGAAAATTTTCCAGCTGGGTATGGTGTCTCATGCCTGTAATCCCAGCACTTTGGGATCAGAGTTGGGAGGATAACTAGAACCCAAGAGTTCACCATCCTGGGCAATACAGTGATACCTTGTCTCTTCAAAAATTAGTTGGGTGTGCATGCCTGTAGTCTCAGCTACTCAGGAGGCTGAGGCAGGAGGATCACTTGAGCCCAGGAGTCTGAGGCTGTGCTGAGCCATGACTGTGGTGCTGCACTCCAGTCTGGGTGAGAATGAGACCCCTCAACTCAAAAAAAAAAAAGAAATATATGATTATATTTTATAGACATGTAAATAAGTCATCTTCAGTTGGGGAAACAGAGATGAATAAAATTTATTTCCTTCACTATGGGAGCTCAAATTTTAGCTGAGAGGATAGATATACATGCATTTACTTGTACTATAGTATTATAAACTGTGTTATGTACTAAGAATAGAAATTTTTTAAATACTTTGGAGATCTGAGGTTTCTCTGTTGTGTCTGTTTTGAGAACTATAGCACTACTGAAGAATAAAAGATGACTCTAAAGAAAATACTAGAAATACATGTTACTAATCAAGATTTTTTTTTCCCTCAGAAACAGCAGCTCTTCCATACCATATTCCACACTTGGCTTGTTCAGTCTATCATATGACATTAAAAGACTTGCCTGCCATGGTTAGGTTATGGTGGAATAGCAGTGAGAAGCGTGTTTTCAATATTGTAGATAGATTTACAAGCAAGTATGTCAGCAATGTTCTTTCTTTTCAAGAAATATCCTCTGTGCAAACGAGTACACAACTATTTAATGGCATGACGGTTAGTATTGTCTTTACTTTGTCTAAAAAATTGTTTGAATGTTGGTTGTTTGTCATTGTGAATATCATAACAAACTGTAATCCGTAATTCAGAGTGTTTAAAAATCGTCTACCTTATTTTCTGATTCTTGTGTATCAAATCTCAATATTATGCATGCATTAAAACAGTGCTACAATTTTGTTTACTCACCATACAGTTTTTGAGTATTAGTTAGTTCATTCAGAATATATATTAGAATACTTACAGATGCCAAGCACTGTTTACTAATCACCCAGGAAAGGAACAGTTGAATAGCATTGGATTACTGACATGAAATAACACAATCTAATGAAAGGGAAAAGAGTGTTACTGACAATGATTTTGGTATTGGAAACTGGAAAATAGCACATTAAGAAAAAGTGTGTTCTATTATCAGAGGGGATGGGATTAGGTGAGACTTTATGGAGGAAGATTACTTTGAGTTGGGCAGGATTTTGTTATGGGGAAAATTAAGGAAAAGGCATTTACTATAGAGAAAATAGTATGGCAAAAGCAAAAGGAATTTAAGAGAGAATGTCATTTCAGTGATTGCCTAAGAAATGATGAACAACCCAGGATTTATATAGAATAGGCGTCCTAAAGGTGAATAGTTAGAGAGCAGGCTGCTTTAACAATGAATTAGGGTTATACTGGGAAAAGACTTGAGCAGTAGCCCAAAGTATTTGGTCCTGTTCAGCCACTGAGGGTTTTCCTTTTTTTTTTTGAGTCAGGGTCTCACTGTTCTCCAGACTAGAGTGCAGTGGCACACTCACAGCCACTGTAGCCTCTATCTGCTGGGCTCAGGAGATCCTTCCTTCTCAGTCTTCCAAGTAGCTGGAACTGTAGGCATATGCCACCACACCCAGCTAATTTTTTTTATTTACTGTAGAGACAAAGTCTCACCAGGTTGCCCAGGCTGGTCTCGAACCCTTGGGCTCAGGCAGTCCTCTTGCCTCAGTCTCCCAAAGTGATGGGATTACAGGTATGGGCCACTGCACCTGGCCCCACTGAGGGTTTTTTATTCAGACAGTAGCATGGTCAGAGTTATAATCTTTAAAATTGCTTTGACTGCAGTATACAGCATGAACTATAGCTTAGAGCTTTGATTCAAACTATAGCTTAGAGCTTTGATTCAAATAGTTAGGGGAGACTATTGGGATTGACATTATGAGCAAAAGGGTAGGTAGGACCTGAGTGAGACAGTATCAGTGGGAATGTAAAAGAGGAGAGATGTGAGAAATTTTGTGGTGGTGATTTAGTCAAACTTGCAACTAGTTAAATATCTGGGTTGAGGAAGGAGAAATTAAAGGTGATAGTATGGTTTTTAGCCTGGAAATAGGAAAGTCAGATTAAGTTTGTAAAGGATGATAATGTGTATTTTATGTTGAGTTTGTAATGCTAGCGTGAAAACCAAAAATATATATATAAATATTCTGGCAGTTGATGGTTGGCTTCAAAGTTCAGAAGAATAATGTGGTAGGGAAAGACTTGGTAGACAGAAGTGGTATTGGATTTCTGGGTGTAGAAGAGAAGGGATATTAATAACCCACTCTATCATTTGTCTATTCAAAAATGATTTAACTATTATATGGCAAGCCTAATGTAATAAAACATGCTTTTTATGAGCAGTGTATTTCTTTTTAAAAAACTTTGAATGTCATAAAATTCCTATGAAACATACTAGGTATTTAAACCTGTTTCTTAAGTATCTCATGTCAGATAAATGAATGTGTTTACATGCATTTTCCTTGAATGAAGACTTTAGCTGCTTTAGTCACCTATTAAAATGTTTTTTGATTGAAAGAAAGGAACTTGGCAAAAAAAAATTACCTTTCTTATGTTGCAGGTTAAAGCTCGAGCTACTACTCGTGAAGTAATGGCTACTTATACTATTGAGGACATAGTCATTGAACTTATAATACAGCTGCCTTCAAATTATCCACTGGGTTCAATAACAGTAGAAAGTGGGAAAAGAGTAGGAGTAGCTGTTCAGCAGTGGCGGAACTGGATGCTGCAGTTAAGCACTTACCTCACCCATCAGGTAAGTTTCTGCTTACACATTTGACTTTCCAAACTAGAGAGAGATGATCTATTTGAAGGGGTTGTTAAAATACAAAATATATCTCTTCTGTTTAAATAGAAAAAGATATTACATTTTTTGGATGAACACAGATATATGCTTGAATGGCTTGAATTTGCCCTGTTTTAATTTTTAAGGTTCTGTAATTTATTTTCTGGGGTTTCAAAGAGATTGTCATTGATATTATAGAGGATGTACAGCAATACATGGTATTAAATGAAATTGAGAAAGAATCTTTTGAAAGATACTGGGCAGATGAATGATTCCTTATTACATTTCAACTCCCCTTTGGTTAAAGAAATCCTAGTACTCTTGAAGACCTTTGCCCCCTATACAGATTTGTAAGCCTTCAGTTTTGTTTGCACTGTTATATATCTAAAACATTTTACCATAAAGAAAATTATGTATTTTAAAACAATTAAGTTCACCAGTATTGTAGAGGTGGAACAAATCAGTTGAGAAGGTGAAATAGTTTTATCATTTTTGGTTTAAAAAAGTATGATTTAATTATTAAAAGAATTTTAAACAATAAACTGAAACCATAAGACTTGAAGTATTAATCAAAAGACTTTATGGAGAAAAATTACTGGTTCATAAAACATAGTCACTTAAAAAAAACAACATTCATAAAATTTAGGAGATGTGAATATAGCCAGGCAGATTTTCTTCTACAATGAAAATTGAACTTTAAAATTTGTGAAATCGGATAAAAATAATATTAGTGGATTTCAGTTCATAATGACTCTTATTTTTATTTTTGTTAAAAGAATGGAAGTATTATGGAAGGCTTAGCATTATGGAAAAACAATGTGGACAAACGTTTTGAAGGTGTTGAAGATTGTATGATCTGTTTCTCAGTCATTCATGGTTTCAACTATTCTCTTCCCAAAAAAGCCTGTAGAACATGCAAGAAAAAGTTCCATTCAGCCTGCTTGGTAAGTCTAAAGAGAAACTGCCTGACTTTTTTTTTTTATAAACACAACACACACTTATAATCTCTAACTTTAGAAGAGAAAACAATATATGTTAAACTCTCAATTATATTAGATGGGAGACATACCAAAAAGTGATTTTTCAAAATTTGCAGAATATAATTAATATTTACTGATACTGGTAGCATCAAGGCATGTTAATAAATGAGTGTTCCTTTTTTATTATCTTTGAGTCAGAGTCTCACTATGTTGCCCAGGCTGGAGTGTGTTAGCATGATCATGGCTCACCACAGACTCGACCTCCTGGGCTCAGCAATCCTTCCATCTCAGCCTTCTGAGTCGCTGGGACTACAGACACACTCCACCATGTGCAGCTAATTTTTTGTAAAGATGAAGTCTCACTGTGTTGCCCCCGTTGGTCTTGAACTCCTGGGCTCAAGCAGTCCTCCTACCTTGGTCTCTCAAAGTGCTTGGATTACAGGCATGAGCCATTGTGCCCAACTTATAAGTGAATGTTTCTAATAGAGCTTTCAGCACTCAGTAAGTAGATGGTCTTGTGAAATTTAGACCATGAAGGAGACTGTAAGAATTGGGACTGGAGGTCACCTGGCATCAGAGCTCTTTGCTCTTTTTTTTTTGAGTAGGAGTCTCACAGTGTCGCCCAGGCTGGAGTGCAGTGGCACACTGATGGCCACTGCATCCTCAACCTGCTGGGCTCAGGTAATCCTTCTGCCTCAGCCTTCCAAGTAGCTAGAACTACAGGTGCATGCCACCACACCCAGCTATTTTTTTTTTTATTTATTGTAGAGACAAGGTCTCACCAGGCTGCCCAGGCTGGTCTCGAACCCCTGAGCTCAGGCAGTCCCCTCACCTTGGCCTCCCAAAGTGCTGGGATTACAGGCTTGAGCCACCGTGCCCGGCCTCCTTTGCTCTTTTTAGACATCATGTTGAAAAAAAAGTTGCTCTTTGTTAAGTTGCTCCACAGATCTTTCTTCCTTATATCTTAGTGGTTGTGTACATGAGCCTAAGTAGGAAGAATCTTAGTGGAGCCTTTCATAGTAATCAGTTATGTTGATTTTGGTGATAAATGGAGAGAACAAAAATTTTAGTATTCTCTCCTTTTCACTTTATCATTTGAAGTTTACTTTAGATGTATATATGTAAGGGGACAGCTTAAAAAAGTTCTTTTAACATTAAACCTTTTCTTTTTCAGTACAAATGGTTTACATCTAGCAACAAATCCACTTGTCCACTCTGTCGTGAGACTTTTTTCTGAGATTTTTCATTGGAAGCGATTCTTGAAGTAAATCAAGCAAAAGCATCGGACTTTAATTCATCTTAATATGTTGATGTGGAAGCCAGTGAACATTACCTTTAAAGAGGATCTTCTCTGGAAGAATTATTTTGGTTAATGATCCTAAAATCATTTACTTCTCTTTAGATTGCTTTGTAAATGTTTAGAAACCTTTTCTTTTATAAATATTACATATTTGAGGGAACATATTTATATTAATGGTTTAATCCCTTTGTATATTTAAAAATAAATACGAAAAAAGCCCTAAGTTACAGATTTGGAATTTGTGAAAACATTATACAACTATATTATATTGATAAGACCATTCAGTTTCTTGGTTTTTGTTCTATAATAGTCCAGGCAAGCTAAATGCATTGAGAGAGCTGATTACATCTACAGATATTTTAAGACTTATTTATTATTTTGACAATAAAATTAGTATTCTGATATTTGTAGATTATTTTAATGATAAAAATGACACTAAGCTATTAATATGGCTTATCTCAAGCAATTTGAAGCATGCTCTGAAATCCTGTATAAGAGTGTAAACTGAACTTTAAGGTGCCTCCTTTATCAAGGGTTATGGAATTCAGAAAATTAAATTCATGACACTGACCTTTTGCTTATGGAAGAGTTATTTCAATGTATTAGTGAAATTTGAATTGTAAACTGTGAATTTATTACAGTTTGAGTAATTCTCCAGAGGGTGAGAATTTGAGAGATATAGTAATTTGATAATTTCATTCATGAAGCAGAGTGGTAGTTATCCGTCTATTGAGAGGAAAGGAATGAATGAATATTACTTGAAACTTAATGATCTGGTGGGGGAAAAAAGTCTAAAAATGCTGTAGGAGGCTTTCAATTTTTTAAGCAATTGTTGCTATTTTTACCAAACTTAAGCTAAATAGGAGATTTGGGAGAGCAATTTTTTTTTTGGCCTCCAGAAATGAAAGAAGGATTTAGCACTAAGTAAAATTCAGTATTAACATGTTAGGCTGAAGTGTGGAGTGAGTGAAAACCTGCCTTTTGCTACAGCACTATTATCCTTAAAAATTGTGCCCAATATATAAAAGTTTGGAAGTTAGAATAATTTTATTGCAGTCTTCCGTTACATGGGAAATGGCGTATTTAATAGCAAGGCCACTTGAAAGATCAGCTAATTGTCTGTGTTGGAAATGTTTAATCAACAAAATCAACTTATGTTAAATAAAATTACTGCTTGCCAACAACTGGGTAAAATGACTATTATTGAAACAGTATGAATGTGGTCAGAGGATCATAGTTGAGAGTGAATTATTACCTATAAGTTATAGGTCTGTTGAGTTGTATTTCTGGATGCAGGGTCTTACTTAGTTTTGTTTGTGTCCTAGAAGTTTTCTGTGTAGTGCTTATCTTCTAGCCTTGATGCTCAAAAAGAGTCAGTAAGTGAAGTACAAATTGCAAAATTTTACTACCTCTTCTTAACCCTTTCCTTATCTTTCTGTGTCTCTCTCTGACATTGTAATTCCAAAGGATTGTGTTACTCCCTGTGAAAATTACATGTTTCCTTTAACATTGGTTGTTTAATCAGACTTTCTTTATAACCTTTCAAGTATTGATACTTCTTGGCTTCTGACCCAAACCCCAGATAGAAAGGAAAATGGAATCATGGAGCATTGTTTTTCCACGTTAGTATCAGGGCATCAGGTATTTGGTGAAACACTATAATTAAGTAGTTATTATTAAATAACTGCACTTCCTACATAGGACTCAATATATTTCTTTAAGACTTGTAAGTTTAATTGTAAAGCTTGTTAACTGTTTATATGCTAAAGAAAAAGCTTTCCAAAATAAGACTGAAATTCAAAACACCACATTAATTAAATTTTTATTTATATTGCTTTGAAAATTCTAGCAAAAAGAATAGCCGCCCTTAAAATTTTAGCATGACTTTTAAAAGTTGCATGAGACTCAAAACCTCTTAGTAAAATTATTAATTTAAAAGCCCAAAGTAAGTTGCAAATTTTTAAATTTATTTTTGACTTTTATTTATCACACGCTCTAATGTATGTATATAAATTTCTGTGGCTTAAATAATGTTACTACTTGATACATTTTGTGGTGTGAATAATTAATGTTATTATTTGATTGTTATACCATATGTGCCCATTAAACTCTTAATTAAAAGGATTTCAAATATACAGAAAAATAATATAAATGCCCTTGTACTCTTCACATACTATTTTGCCATATTTGCTTCTGGTTTTTAAAGAAATAAAATGTTACTCTTTTATACTCCTCCCTGGTGCCATTCTCCTCCTTCCCTAGAGTTACCCTACTGTTCTATTAAAGATTTTATACTTCACCATGTATTTGTATACAGAAACAATATATAGTAGTTTAAAATATATATATATTTATGACATCCTATTGTCTGTAATATTTTATAACTTGCTTTTTAACAATATTTTAATCACAATATGCTGTTTACTATCATATCTGTTTACTTGCCAATTCTGCTAATGGTCGTTTACATTGTTATTTTTTATCGTTTTGAACAGTGCTGCAAGTGTACATTCTTGATCATGTCACCTCATGCAGATGTCCTAGATATTCTGGATATATGCCTAAAAATTGAATTTCAGGTAGTGGGATAAGTATACTCCATGATTTTAGATGTCCAAAGTGGTGTGCAAGTATATATACCCAACAGCAATGTAGGAGAATTCTGGTTTTCCTATCTTGTCAGTGATCCTTAGTCTTACTAGGATTTTTAAGTTCTCAGCCAGGCTTGGTGGCTCAGCCTGCAATCCCAGCAATTTGGGAGGCTGAGGCAAATGGATTGCCTGAGCCCGTGGGTTCGAGACCAGCCTGGACAACTTGGCGAAACCTCATCTCTACAATAAATAAAAAAAAATTAGCCAGGCATGGTAGCATGTGCCTGTAGTACCGGCTACACAGAAGGCTGAGGTTGAAGGATTGCCAGATGGGGTGGCCGGCTGTGAGTGTGCCACTCACTGCACTCCAGCCTGGGCGATGGAGTAAGACTCCAACTCAAAAAAAAAAAAAGTTCTCCAGTCTAAGAGCTGTGAGATAGTAGCTCTTTGTTTTAACTTACAGTTCTCTAAGATTCCTAATTTCATTTCAGATATTTATTTGTCATTGTTTTGTGGATTTATTGTTTATAATCTATGCCATTTTTTTCTACTGGATTACTTGTATTCTTGATGATCTTAAACTTTATCTCAGAGAACTTCTAGTATATGGCTTGTCTTTAACGTGGTCTATGATTATCTTTAATATTACAGAATTTTTAAAATAAATTTAATCAAATTGATAATTTTTTAATTTTATGATTGATCCCTGTTTGTGTTGTTTAAAAAATTTGTTACTTAACTGCATTAATTTTTGTGACTTGTATGATAGAATTCTTACTCCATATTGACAACCAGTTCTCATAGCATCATTTATTAAATAGTATACCCATTTCCCATTGAGTTTATAGTAGCTCATCTCTTATATTACTAAATCTTCTTGTATACCTGGGTTGGTTTCTGGGCTCCATTCTGTTCCATTTACCTATTTGTATATCTTCTAATTCTATACATTTTTATTCTTTAAAAATAGCTTTATAACTAACCTTGAAGAGTAGGTGAGTAGTCCTCTAATCCTACTAATCTTCAGAACTTCCTCTTCCCCCGTTTGCTTAATATCATAGGCAATTTGTTCTTGCTATAGTAATTGTCTTATGGAAGAATCTGACAAGTGTCCATCTTAGGTTTTATTTGGTGTGACCAGGTGACTCTTCAGGCTTTGCCAGATCTTATCCTCAAGGTCTTACAAACCCAATTATTCTTTTTTTTTTTTTCAAAATTGGAGGCAAAAGTTGTGTTTTTCTATGATGGAATCTTTAAACCTCTTTGTGGGTTGGTCTATTTTATAAAAGTTCCTTATAAAAGGATTTTGGTTAGAGCAAGGTATTTATCATGGGGGTTTTCTGTTTTCAGTAGCTTTGGTAATTTTTTTTTTTAACTGTGGATTTCTTTTGAAGGACAATAATTTTTTGGCAGCATCAAGGCATCAAATAATTTGTATATTTGATGTATAGATCTTATAGAGGAACCTGAGGAGAAACCACTGTTTCAAAAATATATTGGATATCCATTCATCACAATTGGACGTGCCTAATAGAAGACCACAAGTTTGGCTACTTGAGCCTACTTGGCTTCTGATAAGGTACTGGATTCGAAGAGACTGATATATTATTACATAATCAGCTGGCATTGTTTTTTTGTTGTTTAAGGTCCATTAACAAGCAATAATTGTGAGAATTTGGTAGGGGGTTGTTCAAAATAATCTGTTTTGGGCATGGATTCTTCTGAAACTGCTGAACCATAATTATAGGTTTATCCTTCATCAGTTATGGGATTTGTGGATTCAGAAGGTTTATAACCAATAAATAGTAAGATGAAGAGGAAGTGACAATATCCATTATATGGTACAATTAAATTTAGTTTTGCATAATGATCACATACCCTGCATTCTTGCTGAACATGTTTATTAGTTCTAATAGATTTTTCTTATGGTTTCCTTAGGGTTTTCGGTATACAAGAGCATATCATCTGCAAATAGAGATGGTTTTACTTCTTTTCCAGTCTACCTTTTATTTCTTTTTCTTGCCTAACTCCTTTGGCTAGAACCTCTAGTGTTGAATAGAAGTGGTGAGAGCAGACATCTTTGTCTTTTCCCTGATCTTAGGGGAAAGCTTTGAGTCCTTCACCATTATAATGTTAGCTGTGGGTGATACAATTTAAAGGGGAACTTAGTATAAGATCTGAAGATGCTTCAATGAACTACTGTTGCAGTTTCTCTGTTGCAAGGTGAGATAAGCTATTCGATCAAAAGATAGGCTATAAGAAGCAATAGTTTTTGTTTTTGTTTTTTAAAATCAGGGTTTCACCCAGGTTGGAATGCAGTGGTACAGTTGTAGCTCCCTGCATCCTTCAACTCCTGGGCCCAGGTGATCCTCCCACGCCAGCCTCCCAAATAGCTGGGACTACAGGTGTGTACCACTATGCCCGGCAAATTTTTTGATTTTCTGTAGAGATTAGGTCTCCTTGTGTTGCCTGGGCTGGTCTCCAACTCCTGAACTCAAGCCACCTTCCTGTCTCGGCCTCCCAAAGTGCTGAGATCACAGTTGTGGGCCACCATGTCTGGCCAAGGCAGTGGATTTTTGATGGGTGTCATGCTGTTGAAAACCTGTTAGAGCAGAGTTTCAGCACTATTGGCATTTTGAGCTGCATGATTGATTGCTTTGGGGTCTGTCCTGTGAATTGTAGGATGTTTAGCAGCATTCCTGGTCTCTAGCCACTAAATGCCAGTGCAACACCCCAGCTGTCACAAGAAAAAATGTCTAGAAATAGCTAAATGTCCCCTGGGTGGCAAAATTGCCCCTGGTTGAGAACCATTTCCTGAGAGTGTGGATAATCAAGCACCATTCACTAGAAATATAATGTGAACCACATGTTATTTTAAATTTTGTTGGTAGTCACACTGCATATGTAAGAAGAAATAGGTGAATTCATTGTAATATATTTTAACTCACTGTATCCCAAATATTATAATAACATGTAATCAATACAAAGTTATTAATGATACATTTTGCTTTTTTGTTTTTGAAGTACAGTGGGTATTTTAAATGTATAGCACATTTCAATTCAGATATGGAATTTTCATTAGAAGTAACTGATCTGTATTTAGATTTCTGAAAATTTGTAGTTGAAAAAGTAAATTCATGTACCCAAGTTGTTCCAAACACACTTAAAATTTAAGTGGAAGTATCCATTTTGAAATTTAAATTAATTAAGTATGATTTTAAATTTTGTTCCTCAGTTACATCTGCTACATTTCAAGTGCTTAATACAAACAATGCAGCTAGCGGGCAACTGTATTGGGTAGTGCAGGCCTAACCTTATGTGCACAAAAGAAAAAGAATGATATATAATATCTAGGAAACATTATCCGGGACTACTACATCTCCTAATACTTTATGTGTGTCTAGAGACTCTTTTGACCATAAGAAATCTGGGATCACTACTCATTCTTTGGCTATTTTTTGAATCATTCATAATGTAGGTATATATCCAGATTAACTATACTTTGATTAATATGTAGAATTTTTCAAAGCTTGAAAAGTAATCTTCCGGTAGTGAATTTTACCTGAAAGTCCATTTATTTAGATTTCTATGGATTAAATTTGGAGAAAAAAAGACTGTATCTTGATAATGTTCCCAAAATAATAGTTATAGGTTGTTAGAAATTTTCACCCTTTTGATGGCTTTAGTATACAAAGGGATCTTATATTCTATCGTAGTGAAATTTGTGGGGTGACACATACCTGTTTTTTTGTTTTTTGTTTTTTTAGTTGGGATCTCAATCTGTCACCCATGCCAAAATGCAGTGGCATGACCATGGCTCACCGCAGCCTCAACCTCCTGTGCTCAGGAGATCCTTCCCCTTCCTCAGCCTCTGGAGTAGCTGGAACTACAGGCATGCACCACCATGCCTGGCTAATTTTTTTTTTTCTGGAGATGTAGTCTCACTATGTTGCCTAGGCTAGTCTTGAACTCCTGAGCTCAAACAATCCTCCCACCTCAGTTTCCCAAAGTGCTGGGATTACAGGTGTGAGCCACCATGCCCAGCCTTGTATTTTGTTGTCCATCTATATTTGTAGACCATTCTCCCTAGGTATTTAGGAGGATGTCAGGGAATTATGAAATCTAATGTCTCCTGGAAGTGGCATTACTGAAGAGATTTTGAATACTGGTTTTTTGGTTATTGTTGTTGTTGTTGTTTTAGCTAAGACAGAACATTAACTCTTCCCATGGCCCTTCTGCTTACAGGCGTCATTAATCACAGCTTCCTGTTCTTATAGAACAGAGAATATGTTGCTCTTATTTTTATTTTGGATAAAAGTTATTTTACCTTGAGGCACACACATTTTGTTTTGATTACTAGCTTTTTGAAATGATCAGTGACATGTTAGAGATCTTTTAATAGTCCATTTTCAAAAAGAGATAAGCCTGTCTGCCTTTACATTACCTCTTGGGGATATCCCTGATAATTGTTTGAAATTTTTCCTAGGTCTATTTCTAGAATCTGATTCTTACTCACTTTTTTTTTCCTTATAATATTGTATTTTTGGTCAGTCTATCTGTAAGAAAAATTTTGGTCAGTCTATCTTTTGAAATAGTCCTATATAGTACCTTTCCTGTTAGCCTACCCTCTTAAGGTCATTT